GGATCCTGACACTGCTCGATAGTCCTGGATGCCTGGGTATCCTGACACTGCTCGATAGTCCTGGATCCCTGGGTATCCTGACACTGCTCGATAGTCCTGGATCCCTGGGTATCCTGACACTGCTCGATAGTCCTGGATCCCTGGGTATCCTGACACTGTTCGATAGTCCTGGATCCCTGGGTATCCTGACACTGCTCGATAGTCCTGGATGCCTGGGTATCCTGACACTGCTCGATAGTCCTGGATCCCTGGGTATCCTGACACTGCTCGATAGTCCTGGATGCCTGGGTATCCTGACACTGCTCGATAGTCCTGGATCCCTGGGTATCCTGACACTGCTCGATAGTCCTGGATGCCTGGGTATCCTGACACTGCTCGATAGTCCTGGGTATGCCTGGGTATCCTGACACTGCTCGATAGTCCTGGATCCCTGGGTATCCTGACACTGCTCGATAGTCCTGGATCCCTGGGTATCCTGACACTGCTCGATAGTCCTGGATGCCTGGGTATCCTGACACTGCTCGATAGTCCTGGATGCCTGGGTATCCTGACACTGCTCGATAGTCCTGGATCCCTGGGTATCCTGACACTGCTCGATAGTCCTGGATGCCTGGGTATCCTGACACTGCTCGATAGTCCTGGATCCCTGGGTATCCTGACACTGCTCAATAGTCCTGGATCCCTGGGTATCCTGACACTGTTCGATAGTCCTGGATGCCTGGGTATCCTGACACTGTTCGATAGTCCTGGATGCCTGGGTATCCTGACACTGTTCGATAGTCCTGGATGCCTGGGTATCCTGACACTGTTCGATAGTCCTGGATGCCTGGGTATCCTGACACTGCTCGATAGTCCTGGATGCCTGGGTATCCTGACACTGTTCGATAGTCCTGGATGCCTGGGTATCCTGACACTGCTCGATAGTCCTGGATGCCTGGGTATCCTGACACTGCTCGATAGTCCTGGATGCCTGGGTATCCTGACACTGTTCGATAGTCCTGGATGCCTGGGTATCCTGACACTGCTCGATAGTCCTGGATGCCTGGGTATCCTGACACTGCTCGATAGTCCTGGATGCCTGGGTATCCTGACACTGTTCGATAGTCCTGGATGCCTGGGTATCCTGACACTGCTCGATAGTCCTGGATCCCTGGGTATCCTGACACTGCTCGATAGTCCTGGATGCCTGGGTATCCTGACACTGTTCGATAGTCCTGATGCCTGGGTATCCTGACACTGCTCGATAGTCCTGGATGCCTGGGTATCCTGACACTGCTCGATAGTCCTGGATGCCTGGGTATCCTGACACTGTTCGATAGTCCTGGATGCCTGGGTATCCTGACACTGCTCGATAGTCCTGGATGCCTGGGTATCCTGACACTGCTCGATAGTCCTGGATGCCTGGGTATCCTGACACTGCTCGATAGTCCTGGATCCCTGGGTATCCTGACACTGCTCGATAGTCCTGGATCCCTGGGTATCCTGACTCTACCAGGCTCCGACAGGATGCCTCCGGAATACTGCTGGGAGTGTGTACATGTCAACTTGACGATGTAGCTGATGACACAAACACTTATGGAGGCGTCACCACATGATTTATGGTGAAAGGATTGCTGGTGGGTCAGCTGAGAGGACAAATTGAAGGCATGTCGGGACAGAAAGTTACATTACTTGTTTATGGATTTTTAGTGATTGAGTGAGTTAATGAATATGCTTTTATGCTATGTTTTTACCAATATTCCGGAGCACCAGAAATGGCCTCCACACAACGAAGGCTCCCTGTAATGAATGAAAACTTAACCACATAGACTGCCCTCTGCCCTGATTGTAGCGGCCATAAAATTTCCTGTGCTGGGATTCGCACCACAGACTTTCTGATCCAAAGTCGGACGCCTTGTCCACATGACCAAAGAGGTTAACCCAGTGAGTGAGTGAGTGAGTGTAGTCACTTTATGGCTGCTACATGATCATAAACATACTCACTGGTTGTTTAGGAAGACATCTTAAGATATTTCAGATATTTGGGATTTTTTTCAGTAACTTTTCTGAACATGTTGCCAATGTTAGGCCAGGGATGTCTACAGTTGTCTCTTGGCTATATCTTAGTTTACTTTGAGCAGAAATAGAAACATAAATCGTGCTTTTCAGTTATAAGCAGTGATGGAGTATTTGTAATGTATGTAAGTTAACATGAGTAAGGGAGCAGTGGGTAGTCCTGTGGTTAAATTGTTAGCTTGTCATACCAAAGGCCTGGGTTCTATTTCTCTGTACAATGTGTGAAGCCTATTTCTTGTGTGCCTTGCCGTGACTTTGCTAAAACCCAACTCGCTTGACTTTAAGTTTTATTTTATTTCATATCTGTTGTAGTAGAATCTGCTTATTTTCTAACCCGCCAAATCACATCCCAATTCCCTGTTCAGTGAAGTTTTCAGGATTGTCAGCACCATATCTTCTCACTTTCTCACTCACTCACTCACTCATGCGTGTGCACGCTTGCTCACTCACTCACTCACTCATGTGTGTGCGCGCTCACTCACTCTGGCTGTATATGTGAACCAACAGTAAATTATATGCCTCTGAGATTTGCTTGTTCTCAAGGGTTCAATAGTGATTGGCAACATTTTCCTTCAGGAATTCCACTCAGCCCAACCTGTGCTGTATACCAATTGACTCGCCAGTCAGGTAGCATTGTTCCGTGTAGGGATGTACCTCTCCCTGCTGTCCTCCACGCTACCCAAACACCAGCTCGAGCCAAGTTAACCTCAAGATGGGCTCACTGTTGACAAGTAGGAGCCTGAACAAATACAGTCTACAGGACAGTTTGTTACGATTTTGTACGTTTGCTCGAGGGATTTGAGGTTTAGGGACGGTTTTAGTTGGCAAATATGTCCGCTGATTAGTAATTAGAGTTGTACTTTGGCTCTGAGGAAAATATTTGGGTATTAGCCTTGGTCATTTGTGGTAGTTGTATGGAGCAGACGTGGAATGTAGACAAAGATAGACACATCTACACAGATGAAAGGTGGATTCTCCAGCGAAAATTAGATGTTTATATTGAATTTGGTTAAGTTTTCTACACAGGCTCCAAGTCCACAGGGAGTACCGTGGTCACTGGATGGGCTGTTTATCGGGAGTTTGTCTGGGTTTTTGTACACAGGATCTAAGTTGTGAGTACATTCTTGCTGGATGGAAAATTAGATTGTGTTTGTGGAATTTGATTTGAGTTTTCCACTGTCAGGATCTAAGTTCACCGTGAGTACAAGGGACTTGTCATTTGTGAAATGTTGACTTTTGTGATCTGAATTGACAGAATGCTGAGTTTGTGCTGCACTGAAACACCACGAAGAAAGCATTATCTTATTTATGTAATATTTGGCAAGAAGCCTATCAAATTGTGTTGTTCTGGGTATTTAGGAATTGCATATTAAACACAAAAAGCTGTCAATCTCATTCAGTTTTGAGATGTACTTTATTAAATTGTTTTCTTTTGGTTCAGTTTATAATGTGTTGAATATTATGTCTTTCGCTGGTTTCATGGAGATTATATTTTGAAAAAACACATTATAAAGAGATGTTATTGATTGGTACAAAAATATTTCTTCAGCATGTTCTGAGAAAATAGGATGTTACTTACTTACTAACTTCCATATGTCATTGTATTCAGTTGATGTTATTACACTGTTTTAAATGTTATAATAAATGATAAGTTTCGAATATACTGCTGAAAACAAGTTTAGGCCAGACCAATTATATTTCTTGTTTTATGGATCTGCCTGTCGTATTTTTTTCAAGAATAAGAAAAAAAATATAAATTAATTCTCCCCGCTCCAAAAATAAAATCCTCATGTTTTTATTGGAAGACAATGTAAACTTACAAAGAAACTTACCAAAAAAAAGATTTTTTAGATTGTTTTTTGCCCCATATGCACTTCATAAATTGCCAAAAATAAAATACTTTAGTATTCAAAAGGAAAATATATTTGAACAGTGATTTTATTTTATATTTTTTTCCCTCCTGCCTTTAGGTTTTCTGAGGACAAAAATCTGTAAAACAAGAAATATAATTGGTCTGGCCTAAGGAACGTTTTCATTATTGTTTCAAATTTCAAAATATTACTCCACAGACACCATCCATGCGAACCCATGTCCATCAGCGATTATACCGTCCCACGTTGCTACAGTGTCAATATTATCTTAATATCCCATACATACATCACAGGAGCCCCAGTCATTGTAGTTGACTTGCCTTTCAGTGTATTGATACAAACACAAGTAATGAAAGCCTTAAATTGAAACATGTAGTGCCAGGATTGTGTACATTTCCGCGGACCGGATCGGTTTTCCGCGGAATCTCTGCATTGTATGCAGATTGGATTCCGACACAAAGACCATCATGATCCGTCTTGCATTTAATCCTCTCAACATCGCAACGACACCCTCTACTCCTTGACCTGTGGAGGTCGGAGGTCAGAAAGGGTACAGTGCGTGGGGGATTATGTTTATCAGCATACTTTGTGAGTGAGCAAGTTTTATGTCATGGAGGCAGTATTTCGGTATATGGCCTCTGATTTCAGCCATACCGGGAATTTGAACATAATGATTTTGAAGTTGTAATTTTACAGTGTTTTGGAAATGACAGTATAATAATAATATTATACGCCACTCAAAGGAAGAATAAGATCATCTGATTCTTCCATATTACTACAGTTATACTGTCCTACTTACATTTAGTCTGTCACATCAGAGGTTGATGGGGGTAACCTCATGGCCATGTTTATCTGAAGATCTGTATGTAATATTTAAGTGTCCTCCCTTCGTATGTTTGAGCTGTTACTGGGTTTGAATCCCACATGTGCCCAGATATATAATCTCATACTTGGTTTGTCCATACCCTGACAGCTCTTCAGAATTCTCGTCAGTAAAATATGTTGTAATGACAATAGTATTCCTACACCGTGTAATGTATTATGAATATTTAAAACATTTCATTATTGTTTCAGGTGAGATGGAAGATGAATGCAAGTTTATCTCCCGTTTCCATGGATACTGGATTGTTACTGCTAGGCATCATGGGATATGTCACCATGGCAACAGCCTGTCCATCGCTATGTCAGTGCAACTTGGACTACTTTGTGTACTGCCGAGGAATCAGGCTGAGTGACGTCCAGCTGCGGACCGTCATGACAGAGATGCCAAACAGAGTCCGTCTCCTGGACTTAGGATTCAACCAAATCTCGGTGCTCCCTCCAGGAATATTCTCCAACCTGCCAAACCTTCGAACATTGAACTTAGTGTCCAACAAGATCAACAATCTCCCAAATGAGGCCTTTTTGAATCTACCAAATCTGGATGAGATATTTCTCAATAATAATGTCCTGCATCAAGTCACGTCTTCACCATGGAGAAACATCCCTCATTTGAAGAAGATAGACGTTTCTGATAATTACATTGACTATCTGGACTCTGGAGCTTTCACATCTCTCACAAATTTGACAAGTTTAAGTTTACGAAGTAATCAAATTGGAGCGATTGAAACAGGCACATTCTCAGGTCTGACCTCTCTCAGATCTTTGGATGTTTCTAACAATGTGATTCATCGTGTGGCAAATAATAGTTTTTCAAGTTTGGAACATCTGCGGACGTTGGATCTGTCATACAATATGTTGACAGAAGTACATGCTGCTATGTTTGTGGGGTTAACTCGTCTGTCCAGTCTTGTATTAGACTTCAACAAAATCTCCGATCTCACTCAAATATCAACATCAGACTTCTATCCAAGTTTGGTCAAACTGTATGTGTCCAACAATGATCTCACCTCTGTTCCAGGAAATGTATTTGTGAATTTCCGCAAGCTGCAAGAGTTGCTTTTGAATAAAAACAAAATTTCCTTGATTCCCAGAGGAGCATTTCTTGGTCTGGACATGGAGAAGCTGTCACTCTCGGACAACAAATTAACTCGATTACAGCGGGACATGTTCCAGCAGGTGCGAAGGATCCGATATTTGGATTTTAGTCATAATAAGATAACTTCACTCAGTACTGGAGTTTTTGATAGTTTTCGGGAAACTATTCTCACGTTGCAGCTTCAAGATAATGAACTTCTGTACATAGATCCGGGTCATTTTCGAGGGATGGTCCACCTGCAATGTTTGAATCTCTCCAAAAATTCCATCAACATCGTTAAGGATGGTTCCTTCAGTGACCTTCGTGACCTTCAGGATCTGGTGCTCTCTGACAATGACCTTGAGACGGTCACGACTGGGATGTTGGAGGGTGTCTCCCTTCAGAGTCTGTATCTCATTTGTAATCCATTGCAACACCTTGTTGGATTCAGGTACGATGAGCAAAACACGAACCCAAAATATATTCATATGAATTTGACAGTCGTTAGTGAATCAGACACATCTGTTAAGGTGAAGTGGCCATATTCATCAGGTTCACAGATCTACTGGACTTTGAAAATTGTGTGTTTGAATGAAGAGGTGTGTTCGGCACCACTGAAAGACCAATACCTTGCTCCTTTCAAAACTGCCCACGTGGTTCAAGGTCTGTCGGCAATCTCAGACTACTACGTGTGTGTAAACCCAGTGTTCGTGAACACAGATGTGCATATTGAACAGTGTATCCATGTGCGGACTAGGAGGAACGCCATCACAACCAGTGCTAGTGTTGTAGCGACACAACAAATGTCCTCTGGAAGCCAGATGGCGCCATCGAAGGCGGCATGGGTGATATTTACCAGCTTCCTGATATCCCTTGCAGTATTATGAAAGGAAGCCTACAGTCATTGATTGAGTCCATGCAATATTGAATATAATAAATGATTTTACAGAGTTATGTCCCTTGAATATCAGAGGATGTGATGGTTGTTCTTTCAAAATCAAATATTTGCCCTGATTAGTTTGATATCCTTGGCAAATGTCATTTGTCATTCATCCATTGACTACAAGCAATAATACTTCACACCTAGATGACATCTGACCAAATGTAATGAGATACAGGTAAAAGTAACATTGCACCCATGACACTAACTCATTCATAGTCTGCGGACCAGACGTCATGATATGGCTGAAATAATGCCGACATTAAATGTTAACTCACTCACTCACTCATTGTGGACCAGATTGCTCAGTGGTCTAAATCAGCGAGTTACAGTACAGAGTTGTCTCCCTTTGATAGACCTTCATCCGCTGACCTTGGTTTAAACTTCCTCCTTGTACTGATCACTATGCCTGGTATGTTCTTTATTAAGACATTGTACACCAACTGCATCCTTTTCTGCAACTGCCCACACAGTGCCAACAGACAGTGGTAGTTCTAAGAGATAGGGTCATCAGACGATCTAAACATTCTGAATTTTGAAAGTTTCAGTCCTCAGACATAAATCCCCAAACAAAATCGTGACTATCAGAAACAGATAATTTGACTTTCTCACCTCTCCAGGGTTGGCAAAACAGTGTCAGGATCAATATTTGCAGGTGAATAAGTATTGTTTTTGTTTTCAGGTGAGATTTACAGATTTGATATCATGTTCGTAAACATTTGCTCAAAACTGAGAAGTATTACTGGTTATGTTATCTGGAATTTGGCTCAACATTGACAAGGGAGATCCCTTGATTCTGTTATAATTAATATAGATGAGTTCCCATATACAAACAAGTTGAGAACACTTCCTTTTCTTGCCATCAATCTATAATGACAGTGTGTATGCATATTTTACGAGTGCTTCAATTCCTTATGTTTTCACATTCCATTGACATGCGTTCATGAAGCTAAACATGTTACAGACAATGTGCTTCATATAGATTTTCATGTTTTCATATTTCTTAAATACGAACTTATCGTAAGTCGAAAGTTCATGAATTCCGTTCGTAAAATCTATGCTAGTTTTTAGAGAATCAATGAAAATAATAGATATTTGATTCTTAGAAGTGGGAATTCTTGGACAGCAGAAAATAGAAGATTTTGATAAGATAACATCTCAGCAAATACGTAGAGATGGAGTGCCACTTTGTTGGGTCTGGTAATAGCTATAAGATCTACTGCAAGTCATGTCAAGGGCCCTGTGTTTTACCCTGACAAAAATATCAGTCATTGGGTATACATGTCTCCGATTCCAAATCTGATTTTCAGATTAAATACAATTCTCAGCTGAACCCAAAAGAGATATTGTTTTCCTATTTTTTCATTGAATCAAGTCCGCTTTAGTATTTCATTACTGATTACCAAACAATCATGTATAAATTATTGATTTCATGCACTGTGAAATATGTAAATAATCAGAATGTTTTAATATATACTTTAGTGCTACATAACTTATTGAAATGTTACGAGATGTTGACATGTCAGTTTCATGTTGTTTTCATTAGACATGTTTTGTACAGTTTGACGGACCTAGATAGTGTACATATGATGGAAGGGACGAGACTGTGTGATGTATGGATGGATGGATCCAAGGGGTATCAAGCCTCTGGAAATGTTGTTTTTATTGTCATTCTTGAAGCAGCCATACCCTTTCTTCACAAAAATACTGTTTAAATGGTTTTGACAGGAATATTAATAATTCTAAGAAAAATGCAAAAGACGATATCTTGCCTGATATGTAATCAGTATGGATTCACAAGGGCACTGTATGTAATCATAGTTTAAGTTAAAAAAAAACAAATATTTTTTTGTTCTATTTTTCACATTACTGTTTCATGATGGGCGGGTTGTTCTATGATATAATGCTGAACCGTAGCAGGAATGGTTGGCATGTTTCGAGCAAGTGTGAAAATGTCTGTTTTTACCAAGATCTGAAAAAATAAAAATTGTTATAAAATATTTTACATTGTTTGATTATGTTTTTAGAATGGCTGATATTGGGTTGTCTGAGGTTTGTTCTCAGTGCTCTACGCTTATGCATGCAACCAAATAATGTCATGGGTTGATTCCAGACTTCATCTGACTCGCATACACTTGTTTCTGGATTCTGCCACATCAAGCTGACTCACTGTGGTATAAATGAAATACAGCTCAGAGTGGTAATAATCACTCGCACATCGAGGTGACAACATGATGTAATTGAAACATTGTACATGTTGTAGAAAGAGTTTATTAACCGTATTTAATCACTGGATGTTTAGCTGCTGAAGGCAGTCTTTTCGACCAAGGTTACCATGGTGTTGTGGTCCTGGAGTGAGTGAGTGATTTTACCAATATTCCAGCAATATCACTACGGTGGAAACCAGAAATGGGCTTCACACATTGCACCCATGTGGGGAATCGAACCCGGGTCTTCGGCATGACGAGCGAACGCTTTAACCACTAAGCTACCCCACTGGTGAGAACGGTGTCTTCCAGAACTTGATGGAACCTGCTTCGCTCTGGTCAAAAGTACAATATTGTTGACTGCTGTGCATCAAATACGTGAACAATTTCATTTAAGTCGGAGCAGTAGAAATTCATTCTTTAAGGATAGTTCAGTAGATAAGGTGAAAGTTTATTTCTACTAGTCCTCAGAATTTAACCGCTAGGCTACCCCACCGCCCCTCATGAGTAATGAAACAAACTCTAAAGTGGTGTTTAAAATAATCGTCTCGGTATAGCGCGTGTTGTGCTAGTCCCGATGTACAAGGCTTCCCCACTCAGACAGTAGAGGACCCTTGAAAATCCGGGTTAGAATTGGTCTTCAGTAATCCATGCTTGTCGTAAGAGGCGACTAACGGATCGGGCGGTCAGGCTCGCTGACTTGATTGACACGTCATCGAATTCTAATTGCGAAGATTGAAGTTCATGCTGTTGATCACTGGATTGTCTGGTCCAGACTCGAATATTTACAGACCGTCGCCATACAGCTGGAATCTTGCCGAGTGCGGTGTTAAACAATCAAACAGCCAACCATGCAGACAGAATACCATCACTCCATGTTTTATATTCTTAAAGGCGAGCGCCATGGAGGAAAAAAACCCACCATGTCTTGGAATGACGGGGAGGGAATCCCCGACCTTCCTCTCCCGGGCAGACATTCCCGGGAGCTACGGTGGCATGAGCTATATACCAACTGATTGGTCGGCCATGCAACCGGTAGTATTCCAGCTATATGACTGAGGCCTGTAGATCATTGAATCTGAATCAGACAATCCAGTGATCAACGGGGTGAGCATCGATCTACGCATGTGTGATGACCCCAACCAAGTCTGCGATCCTGTTAGTCGCCTCTTACGACAAGCATGGGTTGCTGAAGACCAATTCTACCGATCTTCACGGGTTCCACGGATGGTACTCGTACAGCAGTTCCGCCACAGCATGGCAAACAAACAGTAATGTGGCCAGTATTAGGTTTATTCATTCACATTACAAATTGAACTTCAAACAGCTTCAAGCATATCTTTGTGACGTAGTGACCTTGACCTCTTGGCCCGAGGGTTGACGATGTAAGAAGCCGATTGTATACTGCCGGACTCCAGGAATAGTTCTGGAACAAAAGTGTCAATGCATTTTAAACGCAAGCATATATTGTATCCGTCCGTTAGTGCTGCGCCTTTCATTATATCCAGCCAAATTGTCCTTAAAATGTTTGAACGATATGATTCAAACTGCTAAAACACAACAATATTCCAGCAACAGAACGGTAGGGGACATGGATTTGGATTTAATTTAAAACTGGATTTAACACATTGCACCCACGCATAGAGTGAAAAAAGACGTATTTCAGAAAGATTGGAGTGTTGCAGTGCGTTAAGAAATTACATTTTGGCTCTTAGATTAGTGAACAAGATTTCAGAGCATGTACACATGTTCGTACAAGATTTAGCCTGTGTCAGTACAAACAAAGACTCCAGTCCTGATAACACGGAGTAACAATTGTCCCTACTTCCGGTGAACCTTTTACCAAAAAATACAAACAAATCTCTTTAAACACGCCAGTTCTAGCACTGGACATTGTGTGTACAATTAGTTTCGTACAGAAACGTTTGTAGGGTGTCGAAACATGGCTGCTGTAATGATTTGGGTGCAGTGGCTGGTAAATCGGAGCTAAATTGTTCAGATCTTTAAATTACAAAGATTTACCTTGTTTTTCAAGTTCCCGTTTCTTTCTTTGCCGGATACAGGTCCGCTGAAAATATAGAACTTACAGTTACCCACAATGTACATTTGTCACTGCATTATTGAAAACCACCTGTGACATGTAGGCAGTGTGCGAATAGTTTCCATAGTCGGGCAAGCTATGCCTGAAGGTTACTAGCTCACAAAATAATTCACCAGCCCGAAATTTGAATGTAGACACGGGTTTCATCATTAAGCTGCCAATATGATGAACATATGATCCCGATAGGTATGGGCTAACAAGCAAAGAAACTACGCAAATCTGGATTTGAACTATTAAAAGAGCAATGGTTTGAGGATCAGCTCTGTACTGGGTCAGGCAACAAAGACTTTAAACCCACATCAAGCGACATCTTGTCCAACATCTGCATTCAGGCCGACGAGTGAGACTTTGAAAAGTAATGTTAGCTCAGTGCTGCAGGAGTGAGTGAGCGAGCATGGTTTTACGCCGCTTTGAGCAATATTTCAGCAATATCACGGCGGGGGACACCAGATATGGGTTTTACACATTGTACCCATGTGGGGAATCGAACCCGAGTCTTCGGCGTGACGATCATACGCTTTAACCACTAGGACACCCAACCCCTGCAGGAAAATGTTACAGGAAAGCTTTACAGGTAGTTGCTGCAAGTCTCAGACCTATACTAATCCAGTAAATGATCGAGCACGGGTATCCTGCTGAATAACCCAGACGCATTAAGAGGGCGAACCTGGAACCGTTGATCAAGGGACATAACTCTACACAGCGAATTGCTTCGCCAAAGGCTACCTGTGACATTCTGGGTAAATGATACAAATCTATTGTCTATACTAACCCCATCACAGTTTTGATGACAAAGGATGACGTCACACTCGAAGGTCAGGCTTTTGTCTCCCCTGATAGAGAAACCTTTGAAATATGGGCTTGTGGCCGTCAACCCGGAAGTGATGAAACCCTGATCCGGTCTGAAAACAGGTTCCACGCCGCACCTGGAAAGAAATCACGTAGTTTGTGGATACTACCTGTCTGTATAAAGTACTTGAATTAAATTTAGTTTTAAAATCCAACACGTGATAACCCGATGTACCACTCACATCACGGCGAGTATCGTTAGGGACCAGACAAACTATGCTTCATAATAAAGTAGAAACCCCACAATCATCGTATCCTGGATTGACAAGGGGAGGAAATGCCGCACTCCCAATATTTTAGTTTAATGACAGCGAATGTCTGGGTCAGACAACCCTGAGATTGACACAATAAAGTTCGATGTTGTCGATTTTACGGGTTTTAAAAACATTTCATCGATGCGCCCCAGTGACCAAGTCGGTGTTTAACTGTTTGTCATTTTTAGCAATAGTCCTCAAATGAGCAATGTAGGGGAGTCAAACCTGTTCTCTTAACGTAATGAGCGAACGCCTCAATGCTGTCACTCACAACGCGTTAATGCCAAACTGAGCAGCATTTCAGGTGTCATTCATTTAATATGGAAGGACACTTGGCTGTTACTCATAGTAGACAGTAAACTAGCAGAAAGATGTGACATACCCATCTCTAATGGCTGCCATGCGTAGATTGTGTTGAATTCTCGTGGTGACAATGTCGCACCTCATCACCTGTAGCCCCACCTCGCCTTTCTTTCCTGAAATAGTCACTTTCCAAATTTCATCAAACCATTGCCAGTAGAAAGTGGCCACATTACTGTTAGTGTTTATGGAGACACAGGGTACCACCTTGACCTACAGCAATAGGGTTCCAGTGGTTCCCGTTACTGATTTCAAGGGTGAGTGTTTAGATTTACTCCACTTTCAGTAATATTCTAGCAGTATCACGGTGGAGGGCACCAAAATTGGCTTTACACATTGTGCTCATGTGGGGAATCGAATCCGGATCTTCTGCGTGACGAGCGAACGCTTTAACCACTAGGCTACCTAATTTCAAGTGTCTTATAAAATATATAGTCTTGTAAAGTAATGAACCTGAACCATTAAAATCTGGCAATAATGTTAATTATAGGAATCTTATATTACTTGTCAGGAATTTTGTACAATAAATATTATTGGGGGACGATATTCAGGACGAGCCTTCACGCGAACAAAGTCCCTGTACACGTTGAAGATAATGCTGAGGGACAAGATTTTTTATCACGTGTAAGTATTCATGGCAGAAATGAAGGGTCCCGATGACTGAGTTTATTCCTTAGTGCCTCGGTCCCATGACTTTCATCTTGATTCTATTTTACATTTAGTGTGAAGTATTAAAGAAATTGTTATCCACGTTTCCAGTTCTTGCACACTCACAAGAGTTTTGGTAAGACCTGCCCACCAATACAGGTGGCAGAAGAATGCTCGGTTACACCTGTGCTGTATTGACCTCACCGTCAGTAACGGCATGAAGCACATACGGCCTTCCCCTTTGCAGACTGACGTTATGCAGTTTATAGCCGGCCACGTTGGTCAAGAAAATCTTCGTATGCTCTTCTTTATATGCTGATCTTTGAAACCTGAAAGTAAGAGGGAAGGTGGTTTTACGACGCCCCAAGGACGGGGCCAAAATGCCTGAGAACGTTGGGCAACTCTGCTGGGCCATGAGATAAGTGTTTGTTTTTTCAGGCAAAACTGACCATTTCACAGAATGAAAGTGCCTAATGAAACGCCACCAAGAGTGGCATATGGCGAGTTGCTTGGTTGGCAGATAAACTGAAGGTTAGTCAAGACTTGGTATTCTTTTGCACTAAATGAGTGAGTGAGTGTAGTTTTACGCCGCACTCAGCAATATTCCCGCTATATGGCGGCAGTCTGTAAATTATCGAGTCTGGACCAGACAATCCAGTGATCAACAGCATGGGCATCGATTTGCGCAATTGGAAAACGATGACGTGTCAACCAAGTCAACCAAGTCAGCGAGCCTGACCACCCGACCCCGTTAGTCACCTCTTACAAGCATGGGTTACTGAAGATCAATATTCTAAGCCGGATCTTCACGGGTCTTTTGCACTGAAATTCTATATCAACAAAATATACTACTTTCATCAAATTGTCCTGCACAGATCCTTGTCCAGGGCAGATGTGAGGTTCTTAAAAGGCACATAGCTTAATATGGAACTCATTCTTCATACCTTGTTTTAAACGGACTTGGGGCCGAGTTGATAAAGGCGGCAGGTACAACTGAAAGCAGAAAGTCATTTTTTAGACGCAATGGATCGGCAAATTGTTTGATGCCGCCCCCGCAATATTCCAGGTATGTCACAGCGATCTGTAAATAATCAAGGGTGGACTAGGCAGTCATCTGATCAGTGAGTGACATTAACATCATCGATCTACGCTGATCCAACAAGCTATCTCCCTTGACAAGCCTGGCGGACCCACACCAGCACATGTACGACCCGAGCGGAAGGTCGCGGGTTCGATCCCCGACCGTGGCATACCAAAAGACGTTAAGATATGGTACTTGTTGGTCCCTGCCTGGCGCTCGGCATTAATGGGTACAACAAGGACTGGTCGGCTCGGAGTCAGTATAATGTGTCTGAGTGGGGTATTCATGCTTCACTGCGGTATGGTATCTCAGTGAGCTAGCACTATAAAACCAGCTTCAGTCTGGGCTAGTACAAGCAGCCACACATACACATGCATGCATGCATGCACGTCGTCATATGAGCGAAATATTCTCATGCACGACGTAAAACCCAATTTCACCTCACATGTACGACCCTGGTGGATTGAGGGCTGCTACATGCTTCCATTCCACGTTTGGCGAATTCGGTTGCCTCCAGTCGGTGTGAGCACACCTGGTTGAGCTTGTTGCCACCAATCGGTGGGTGCACTTCTGAATGAAATAGTGCCTGTCTCAAGTTGCCATAAAAGTCAGACTCGCTAGTGAGTTAGTTGTTTAAACACCATTTTGACCACCACGCCAGTTAAATTATGGTGTTTTCCTTTAGTGAGAAGAATACCGCAACCAGGCCAACACTGGTATGACGTCCAGCATGGAGGTTGTAGGTCAAACTAACACTGCTGAAATCTCCTGACAGTAACCAAACCTTCCCTGTTTCAACTTACCGTGGTTGGGGGATCTTCGACGTCTTTGATTCTCACAGGAACTCTGAAAAGAGATCATTACCTTACTTTGTCAGTCCCAAATAGAGAATACAAAAGGTAGAACATCACTCCGACATTCCAGCAGAATCTCCCAATAGGAATAACAGGATCTTTTATCTATGAGGGAGTTGAACTTAAGGCGGATTTAGCAATATTTCAACAATATCATCCCATGGACTCTAGAAATGGGCTCTAGAAATGGACTCTAGAAATGGACTCTAGAAATGGACTCTAGAAATGGGCTTCAGGCAAAGGACTCTTTGGTTGACATTGAATCATAATGCAATGACAATTCACATCGTATCAGGACCCGTGAAGATCTGGGATAGAATAGGTCGTCAGCAACCCATGTGCTTGCCATAAAAAGGCGACTATCTTGTCGTAAGAGGCGACTAACGGGATCGGGTGGTCAGTTTCGCTGACTTGGTTGACACATGTCATCGGTTCCCAATTGCGCAGATCGATGCTCATGCTGTTGATCACTGGATTGTCTGGTCCAGACTCGATTATTTACAGACCGCCGCTATATAGCGGGAATGTTGCTGAGTGCGGCGTAAAACTAAACTCACTCACTCACATCGTATCAGTCAATTCATTAGTAGTCTGATAAGCGAGGTACACAAGGTGCAGCGTGTGAAGCCCATCGCTGGTGTCACATGCCGCTGTAAATCTGAAATGTTCCTAATTACGCCAGACTACAATACTCAAAAGTACCAGTACCCTGCGCAAGTACCCACATTAACGCTGCGCAAGAGGATTGAACACTATTTGTTGACTCTGCAATCAGCATTATTCTAGCTATATGCCGGCGGTATGTAAATAATCTAATCTGGACCAGACAATACAGTAATTAACATTATGAGCATGGATCAATGGAATACGATGACATAATAACGCCTGAACGCCAGATCTGGTCAGTCGCTTCTTATGACAAGTATGGGCAAAACCAATTCTAAGACTGTCGCAAGTCTATGTTTAGGCATGGGAGTTGCGATCACCTGAACGCTAAGGTTGTTTTGGACAACAGTTCCCAGATCGTATCTGTTAGCTGAAAGGCTGAAGTAATGAAGCCAGTGTGAAATCCTATTCAACCTTTTAACAATCACGACGCAATTGGAATTTGAACCCCGATCAAAATTTCTGACAAGCTTAAGAGACGAAAAGCGCATCAGATGACTTCCCCACCAGTGTCTCCAGAATATACCTCTGAGTGAGTTGGGTTTTACGCGGCTTTTAGCAATATTCCAGCAATATCACGGCGGCAGACACCAGAAATGGGTTTCACACATTGTGCCCACCGTCCCTATATACCTCGATGAATCCACATGGCCTGTATATAACACTTACCCCGTCACATTGTGTTTTACAAAGGGTAAAGTTGCAGTCAAACGTGACTATCTTGTCATTGTCGAGATGAAACATATCAAAGTATGGACTCATGGCGGTCAGCCCTGTCGTGACGAAACCCAGCGTCTTCTTGAACACTTGACCGTCGCCGCACCTGGAAGTACAAACCGACTTAAGACTGGGATACTGCCTCACAGTCTTGGTGTTCAGAGGCGAAGATATATTTTACAACTAATTCAAATTATTGTGTATCGTCGACTCAGGCAGTATAAGGCGATAACCACCACGTTCAAGATTATTGCACATATAGGTTCAAGATTGTTGCACTTATAGGAGTATTGCTCGAAGCAATATCCTAGCGGGGGACAATAGTAGTAATGCAATGATACACCCTTGATTGTCAGGCAGGGAATATAACTCGCATCCTTTCAAATTGTAGAGGTAACCAGAGATCTGCCCTAACACTTAGACTACAGTTCAGACGGCCTTGAGTTCGGTTACGTCTTGAATCTTCACTAGTTACTAAGTTCCTGGAAGTACGACAGGGTTCATAGGTGACACATGCTCTGTCAGCATCGACTCCTAGATTGGTATGGACGTCACACAAATAGAATATATTGATACTGTGGTCCACGTAAGGAGGCCTTAGTTCCTAATGTTGTAATTTGAGCCTTGCGAAAGCCTCTCGCACTCTGGAGGTCTTGTGAGCCTCTCGCACTCTGGAGGTCTTGTGAGCCTCTCGCACTCTGGAGGTCTTGTGAGCCTCTCGCACTCTGGAGGTCTTGTGAGCCTCTCGCACTCTGGAGGTCTTGTGAGCCTCTCGCACTCTGGAGGTCTTGTGAGCCTCTCGCACTCTGGAGGTCTTGTGAGCCTCTCGCACTCTGGAGGTCTTGTGAGCCTCTCGCACTCTGGACTCTGGAGGTCTTGTGAGCCTCTCGCACTCTGGAGGTCTTGTGAGCCTCTCGCACTCTGGAGGTCTTGTGAGCCTCGCACTCTGGGAGGTCTTGTGAGCCTCTCGCACTCTGGAGGTCTTGTGAGCCTCTCGCACTCTGGAGGTCTTGTGAGCCTCTCGCACTCTGGAGGTCTTGTGAGCCTCTCGCACTCTGGAGGTCTTGTGAGCCTCTCGCACTCTGGAGGTCTTGTGAGCCTCTCGCACTCTGGAGGTCTTGTGAGCCTCTCGCACTCTGGAGGTCTTGTGAGCCTCTCGCACTCTGGAGGTCTTGTGAGCCTCTCGCACTCTGGAGGTCTTGTGAGCCTCTCGCACTCTGGAGGTCTTGTGAGCCTCTCGCACTCTGGAGGTCTTGTGAGCCTCTCGCACTCTGGTAACAGGGGCAATAGTAAGGGGGAAGCGGTGTTCTCGAAGGTGTTGTTTGTTGTGGAGTACTGTTCATGACTCCATTAATACAATTGATTTTAAGTTTCAAATGTGCGTGGTATTTTATTATCTTTTAGAGCAAAGAACTTCCTGAGTGTTCAGTATTGGGCGAGTACCTACAGACAAGTCGTGGTCAGGATCTTGTTTTCCGGGACAGGCAATCTGCTGGAATGTTCAAATTGCCCTGTGCGAGAAGTACTTCCATCCTACCGCTCACGGAATCTGCCAAGGACTATACTTATGAAATACTCACGAAGAAGTTACTTCTTCAAAGAAGTCCCATTGCCATTCCCGCATAAATATGGAATGTTTGGCCCTTTTAGAATCCTTACCCAGCTCGTATCACTTGATACCGTTTTCCCGTTGTTTGACCAATAGCGTCACAAGATGTTATTCGTATACCCTTCTCTCCAGAAGAACCTATTAAGAAACATAAAATACAAATAAGGTAAAGTCTTTACACCAGCACAATACCTATCCACGTAAAGAACTAAAGACCATTCAGTCAGCCAGCCAATCAGTGTCCAGTTCTCGGTATGAGTAAACAAAAAGTGATATGACTTCTGCATCTCAAGAACGAAATGAAACATCCTGTTCCGAATACAAATGATTTAGGCTCTGACATAGTTAATACTGACGTCAGATATCAGATATCGGGCTTCTTCACAGAGAGCTATGGTATGACGGTAAAATATTTGATGTTAATGATACTAAGACAATATTTCAAATCCAGACAATATAAGCATCGTTCGAGCCAGCGAGCGAGTGAGGTTTTACACTCAGCAATATTCCAGCTGTATGGCGGCGGTCTGTAAATAGTCAAGTCTGGACCAGACAATCAGCATCGTTCAATATCATCGTCACCAGTGCCCGATTAGATCTTAATTAAAGGGGGTGTTGGGGTTATCGGTTAAAGCGTCACACTGCGGGACGGGCTCGACGGGCTCCAGCGGCTACAATGTAAGAAGCTCATTTCTGGTGCAACTCACCGCGATATTGCTGGGATATTGCTGGGATATTGCGGCGTAAAGGTAAAGGCAGTCAGTGTGAAATGAAGACACGTACCGTCGGTGGAGGCGATGAGAAGAACCTTCCTGCCCAGATTGATGTTCCGGCCGTTCAGACTTTGCCTCGCTATGTCGGTGAGTAGTAGCTTCAGTTTCGATTTGGACTTTGCCCCCTTGTTGACCACGATTTCTTTCGGTGCAATCACTCTAAAACACATTGTTAAAAACGGATTTATACCATTAATGTAGGTTTTCAAGTAATTGGGTTTGACGTCGCTTTTAGCAATATTTCAGCAATATCATGGCGTGGGAAACCAGAAATGGGCTTCACACATTGTACCCATGTGGGGAAATCAAACCCGGATTTTCGGCGTGTCGAGCGGATGCTTTAACCACCGGACTACCCCACCACCTTGTTCGGATGCGAAATTTCGCCCCTGATACGCTAGACCAGGGAGGCAGTCTGTGTTTAACGGGAAGATGCTCACCTTCCCTTTATAACTTTCTTCCCGCTAGTTTTCGAACCTCTTGGGTCCAAGGTGCAGGTAACTGTAACCACTTCGTCGTCAGTGTGCACCTCAGCACCAATCTCGCCGTAGGAGACAACAACTCTGATGAAATACACTTGGGAATTTTCACGTTGCTTAAAAAAAGATATTTTTGGTCATAGAGTAAATGTGTCCTTTTCTGGAGTCTATCAAGACCCAGATTTATTTAAAGGCGGTCGTGAAAACATATCTAAGTGCAAAGTGAAACAAATTGTAAACAGTTATCAATGGACTATCATCTCGATGACAGTGAGTGAGTGAGTTTAGTTTTACGCCGCTTTTAGACAATATTCCAGCAATATCACGGCGGGGGACACCAGAAATGGGTTTCAAACATTGCACCCATGTGGGGAATCTAACCCGGGGAATCGAACCCGGGCATTCAGCGTGACGGGCGAACGCTTTAACCACTAGGCTACCCCACCACACCATGGCAGTTTGGACATCAGGGAAGATGCAAGTGTTACATATGGGTTTTCACTGTCTTAGAGAACCAACAGGCGCAGCGTTGACGCTCTTGTTTACCTTGAATGTGCAGGCCTTGGTCGATTTGCTTCCAGGATAGGCTACGTCAAGAGTCAAGGTAGCGTCGTCAACCTGTTTGAATCCCACCGGCGTCCCCTGTTGGCAGTAGGCATTGGCGTCCACGTTCAGATCTGTTTTGATTGTGATGGTGGCTCCTCCGTCGATACTGGTTGAACACAGAGGTGTCACTGAAACAGAGGGAGGGGGGTTTAACGCTGCACCCAACAGTTCTTGTGATGTAACAGACTGTCAGTGTGGAGTGCTGGGGCGAGAGTAGGGCTGTCGCGAGAATAGGTCAGGGGAGAGAGTAGGTCAGGGGCGAGAGTAGGGCTGGGGCGAGAGTGGGTCAGGGGCGAGAGTGGGTCTGGGGCGAGAGTAGGTCAGGGGCGAGAGCAGGGCTGGGGCGAGAGCAGGTCGGGGCGAGAGCAGGGCTGGGGCGAAAGTAGGTCAGGGGCGAGAGTAGGGCTGGGGCGAGAGTAGGTCAGGGAGAGAGTAGGTCTGGGGCGAGAGAGTGGGTCAGGGGCGAGAGTGGGTCAGGGGCGAGAGTGGGTCAGGGGCGAGAGGGGCTCAGGGAGAGTAGGGCTGGGGAGAAGTCAGGGGAGAGAGTAGGGCTGGGGCGAGAGTAGGGCTCAGGGCGAGAGTGGGTCAGGGGCGAGAGTGGGTCAGGGGCGAGATGGGGTCAGGGCGAGAGTAGGTCAGGGAGAAGTAGGGCTGGGAGAGAGTAGGGCTGGGGCGAGAGTAAGTCAGACCGAACACTGGGTCAGGGTTAGTGGGTCATTGTCTCCCTCAGGGGCGAGCAGGGCTGGGGCGAGAGCAGGTCAGGGCGAGAGCAGGGCTGGGGCGAAAGCAGGTCAGGGGCGAGAGCAGGGCTGGGGCGAGAGCAGGGGCTGGGGCGAGCAGGATTCTTTTAATCAGGGAGAGAAATCGGGCTGGGGCGAGAGTGGGTCAGGGCGAGAGTAGGGCACAGAGAGGGGCGAGAGGGTCATTGGATGGGGCGAGAGTAGGGCTGGGGCGAGAGTAGGGCTGGGGCGAGAGTTGGGCACCACGACTAAGGGATGCTACACTGTACAACAAACTGTGTCGCCTCCGAGGACTGGTTACCCCCTACCCTTTTTACAAATAGAAAAAACAACCTGAAGTGTGTTTGCTTTTGATCATGTTATCAACAAAACCACGAGTTACTCTAGTGCCCTACCCTAGTACTTTCTGTCAACGATAAATGTGTGAAGTCAAGCCACTACAAATTACTTTCCCATTTTAAGGACAATGACATTTGCCAGGGCTGCATTATGCGTGAACTGCTCACCTTGCAAGGTATATCCTTTAGGTATCGCCGCTGTAGTTATACCCTGCAACATGCACGTACTGAAGAATGAGAGTTAGGTTACACCATAATAACATTCCTCAAATATCACGCCGAGGGACACTAAAATGGGCTTCAACCAGTGTACTAGTGTAGAGAACCGAACCGAATCGGCGTGAAGAGCGAACGCCTATAGCACTTGGCTACCCCACCAACACCACAGTGACCACACACTGAATAAGTAAAAGCAGGTGAAATTCGGTAAACGTGTTCAAGATAATTGCACTCGGATACGTGTTGGCGTACAGCGTTAAACGCGAGACACGCTGCATTGTCACTGGGACACCCCATTCAGACATAGAACACACTTGTATTGGTTGTTTAACGCCGCACTCAGCAATATTCCAGCTATATGGAGGCTTTCTGAAAATGATCGAGTCTGGACCAGACATACCAGCAACACTGAACGACGTACCAGCAACACTGAAAGACGTACCAGATGAACCAGCAACACTGAAAGACGTACCAGCAACACTGAAAGACGTACCAGATGTACCAGCAACACTGAAAGACGTACCAGCAACACTGAAAGACGTACCAGACGTACCAGCAACACTGAAAGACGTACCAGCAACACTGAAAGACGTACCAGATGAACCAGCAACACTGAAAGACGTACCAGCAACACTGAAAGACGTACCAGCAACACTGAAAGACGTACCAGAACGTACCAGCAACACTGAAAGACGTACCAGCAACACTGAAAGACGTACCAGATGTACAAGCAACACTGAAAGACGTACCAGCAAGACGTACCAGCAACACTGAAAGACGTACCAGCAACACTGAAAGACGTACCAGACGTACCAGCAACACTGAAAGACGTACCAGATGTACCAGCAACACTGAAAGACGTACCAGCAACACTGAAAGACGTATCAGATGTACAAGCAACACTGAAAGACGTACCAGCAAGACGTACCAGCAACACTGAAAGACGTACCAGCAACACTGAAAGACGTACCAGCAACACTGAAAGACGTACCAGCAATACTGAAAGACGTACCAGCAACACTGAAAGACGTACCAGCAACACTGAAAGACGTACCAGATGTACCAGCAACACTGAAAGACGTACCAGACGTACCAGCAACACTGAAAGACGTACCAGACGTACCAGCAACACTGAAAGACGTACCAGATGTACAAGCAACACTGAAAGACGTACCAGGAAGACGTACCAGCAACACTGAAAGACGTACCAGCAATACTGAAAGACGTACCAGCAACACGTACCAGACGTACCAGCAACACTGAAAGATGTACCAGCAACACTGAAAGACGTACCAGCAACATTGAAAGACGTACCAGATGTACCAGCAACACTGAAAGACGTACCAGCAACACTGAAAGACGTACCAGCAACACTGAAAGACGTACCAGATGTACCAGCAACACTGAAAGACGTACCAGCAAGACGTACCAGCAACACTGAAAGACGTACCAGCAACACTGAAAGACGTACCAGCAACACTGAAAGACGTACCAGACGTACCAGCAACACTGGAAGACGTACCAGCAACACTGAAAGACGTACCAGCAACACTGAAAGACGTACCAGCAACACTGAAAGACGTACCAGATGAACCAGCAACACTGAAAGACGTACCAGCAACACTGAAAGACGTACCAGCAACACTGAAAGACGTACCAGCAACACTGGAAGACGTACCAGCAACACTGGAAGACGTACCAGCAACACTGGAAGACGTACCAGCAATACTGAGAGACGTACCAGCAATACTAAAAGACGTACCAGTAATACAATACTAAAAGACGTACCAGCAATACTAAAAGACATACAAGCAACATTGAAAGACGTACCAGCAACATTGAAAGACGTACCAGCAATACAAAAAGACGTACCAGCAATACAAAAAGACGTACCAGCAACATTGAAAGACATACCAGCAACATTGAAAAACATACCAGCAACATTGAAAGACGTACCAGCAACATTGAAAGACGTACCAGCAATACTGAAAGACGTACCAGCAATACTGAAAGACGTACCAGCAATACTTAAAGACGTACCAGCAATACTAAAAGACGTACCAGCAACAGTGAAAGACATACCAGCAACATTGAAAGACGTACCAGCAACATTGAAAGACGTACCAGCAATACTGAAAGAAATGCCAGCAATACTAAAAGACATGCCAGCAACATTGAAAGACATACCAGCAACATTGAAAGACATACCAGCAACATTGAAAGACATACCAGCAACACTGAAAGACATGCCAGCAACAGAGGCAGTAAACACAGTCCAGCTGTCATGGTTGGAGAACTTGACGGACCTGAAACAGACAAACTGGTATTTGCATTTGAGCTTCTCAAAAATTAAAACTTTAATATGACACATGTACTATGCAAACATTTGTTCTGTAATGCCACAATCAGTAATGAACATTGCATGTAACGGACCAGATAATCAGGTAATTGACATCTGCAACTATCTGCACAATTTGAATACGATATGCGTCAACGGAGTCATACCTCGCCAGACAACCCAATTCGATTTGCTTGTTAAAATGACTTAGTGAAGATCAATTCTAACCCGGTTGCTTGAGGGGCCGACGGTAAACAGATATTGAAAACCATATGTATGTTGTCTGTCTTTAGTTAGGAAAGATGTGATTGGGGAACTACTTCGTTATATAACTGACTTCAGGATATTAAATTCTGGATGAAGTTGATAGAATAAACGAGGTGTATATATGAACGTCAATCCAAGTTCGAACAGAATAAAAGTAATTAATGCGCGATTCACATTCTGTTTGGGAGATACTGCGACAAAACACGTTTACCTGGACGGAAGTATTGCCTCAAACACGTGCAATATATGGAGTATTAACAAACGGAGGAAGGTTTCAAATGCTTACTTACAGACACACACCAACCATATGCCTCAATGTCGTCTATGTTGGCCGGGTACAAGCGTGCAGCACGTGCCTGAGGAGCCCGGATGTAAATCCGTGCAAACCCTGCACAAAATGTGAAGATGACACGTGCAGCTATGCTCGACAATTTCGTCTTCTGATAGCTCTCTTGGTTGAAGGTTTAATGAAACAATCTGTTTATCATTACCTTAAAGTGATTTAATTAAACTTTCGCTTCATCAATATTACATAATGACTTTAAAATATTAAAGAAAAATTTGCTCATTGAAATAACGAGAACACACTTGCCTTTCCTCGTCAAATAACAAACTTCATCGATAGCTGCGTTTACGGTAAAAACCAATTTCATGGAGGCTGACTGAAAGTAGTCTCGGCATAAAGCTAAATCACTCGAGTGAAAGATCAAGTTCATTTTTCAGGAAAATATACCTTTTCATCATAAAGTACGTGATAAATGTGAGTCGAGGTCTGTCACGTCCGCCCTCAAATGAACAAATCGGGGACAAGTTGATGACAGAATGGGCGAGATCACACATTGTTACCGAAAGGAATTATATATGAAATATTTAAAGCATAAGGAATTGTATTCTTGGGTTACTTTAAATATTACATTATCATCCAAAAATGTGGTCAACGGGAGACATTGATTGTGTGAGACCAAAGGAGATATCGTTTTAACAGTAACTTTTGTACAATACCTTGACGTCATCAATTACATAAGATCATAATACTTTGACATCATCAATTACATAACTCAAAATGACGTGACAGATACCGTCAACCCCTGATGATATCACTATGCTATGACGTCATTAACTTGAACACGTCACAATGCTATTGGATAGCTGCACTTCAAGTCTAATGGCAGTACCGTGATCAGAAATACACATTTTTGATTCATTGAAACTAATGAAGAGTGATTTTTATGATAAATAGAATCTCACCCTCGTGCCTTCTGATATCAAATATACTCAAAGGTAAAAGTTATTGTGATTGATGTTAAGTTAGATATGTGAATTAACAACTCATATTTTATAATGCGACTTTTTTGATATTGCAAGAAAATCATTCCACAATAGGATTGCAAATGGCACATTTTAAACTTTTCTGGCGGACACATGTAAGCAACGGTCACAGTAAGAGAACGGTCAACATGACATTCACAGTCAATAACGTGTATGTCCACCATGAGCATTGATGCACCTGCGCCTCACAGAGCCATCAAACGTCACAAGAAGTCTTGTGGAATGGCATTCCATATCTGTGGAAGCACCTGGCGGAGTTCCTGAAGCGTGACTGGGGGATTTAGCCAAAGTCTCAATCTCCTCCCCATTTCATCCCAGACGTGTTTGATAGGGGACAGACCTGGGGATTTAGCCATCAGCGCGGTGCAAGAGAATCTGAACTGTTCGGGCTGTCAGTGTGTCTGGTTGGAATCTTTGGTGCAGATGGGTGGTTCGAATCCAACGATCGTTGCGACGGCGTTTTGTTGATAACGTCTCTGCAAGCGGTATGTGGTGTTCCTGTGCACGTAATTCTGATTTGCAACGTTGCGCTGGGTGTTCCGGTTTCAAGCATTCCAGTGGCTCGCCATCTTTCATTATCAGTTAGCCGTGGCATAGATAAATGTAAGCAGATTCTTCCACATTTGTGTTTTTCTGACCCGTCGACGTCTAAACAATGATTTGGGTGACAGTGATTCGAGGTTTAGACTAGGGCCATAAAACTGCATAGAGGTTGGTGTATTTTCACGTTGCCATAAGCATATTTTAGATATGTGGTGGTGGCATGTCGCTGATAAGGTTTGGACCACCAAACTAGTGATCACTGAATCTAAAACAACAAGTACCCAGCCCGACGTCCGGATCCATTACATCTCGAAATACATCACTGGGACCGATACGGGACAGTGTCCTGATCTCCCGAAGAGCCTATAGCTACTGGTATGAGCGTTCACTCGTCACCCGAAAGAGCCGGGTTCGATTCCACAAGGGTACTACGTGTGCAGGTTATGTCTGGTGCCCTCTGCCATGATATTGCTGGAATATTGCTGAAAGCGTGGTGAACCTCACTCCTGATGCTGTTGAGACAATCGCATTATTTGTGCGTGTTCTTGTGGTCGTACACCCCGATATCGTGGCATGTTTGACGTAGCTACCCCACTCAGACAGAATACCGACACCCCCTGTTTTATATCCTTAATGCCGGGCGCCATGGAGGGGAACAAGCACCATGTCTTGTTATAACGGGGATAGAATCACCGACCTTCAGCTCCAAGGACAGATAATCCAGATTGAGTGGTTATTGATTTACAATATGCCAGCTATATGACGGCGGTCTGTAAACAATAGAGTTTGGACCAGACAATCCAGTGATTGACATGAGACTCCCTTTATGCAATTGGGATACGATGACACGTGTCAACCAAGTCAGCGAGCCTGACCACTCGATACTGTTAGTCGCCTCTTGCTACGCGTGTGGGTTACTGAAGACCAATTCTAACCTGAATCTTAACGGGTCCAGGAAGCTATGACGTCTGGACCAGACAATTCAGTGATTGACATGAGCGTGGATCTATGCAACTGGGATACGTTGAAATGTGTCAACCAAGTCAGACCTATTGCTGAACACCAATTCTACCGATACCGAGTCCCACGGATGTACTCATACAGCAATACCGCCATAGCAAACAAACACATTTATGTGGCCAGTATATGGTTTATTTGTTCGTTACAAATTGAAATTCAAACAGCTTCATGACGTATTCACCTTGACCTCTTGGCCCGAGGGTTGACGACATAAGAAGCCGATTGTAGACTGCCGGACTCCAGGAATGGTTCTGGAACAAAAGTGTCAATGCATTTTCAACGTCTGAAATATTGTGATACTGCGGTCAGTAAGCGATGCGCCTTGGAATTTGTGGAGCAAATATGTCCTCAAAATGAAATCAGCTCCAGACTGTTGAAGAAAACTGAGCTTTTAGGCCGCTTTTCGCAATATTCCCATTTCTGGTGTCCCTGCCCTGATGTTGCTGGACTTCTGCTACAACAGTCTGAAGTATAATTATTAAATAAAAACAGTTTGGGAAAATTTTGGGGAAGCTCGGCGGTCGAGGCTATACGAGAAGAGAAAGACTTGTTTGATTGTGCATGCTACTAGCGCTATTCCGGCTGTTTGGAAAATACCTTACACCGCACTTAACAATGTTCCATTTGTGTGACGGTCTGTAAACAGTCGAGAATATCGATATACTCTTCGTATTATATCCGTTATGCTGAGCGCCATGAAGGAATGACGCATCTCTTAGCACGCGTATGTAACCACCGATCTTCCGCTCTCGGGGTAGATAATCCAGGACCAGACAATCCAGTGAGGTACACATTATTCACCATTCAGAAACAAAAACGCTGTTTGGTTCCTTAACGCCGCCCTCAGCAATATTAAGCTATATGGCGGTGGTCTGTAAAAAATTGAGTCTGGACCAGACAATCCAGTAATCAACATCATGGGCATCGATCTACGCAACTGCGATACAATGTCAGACCAATTGACCAAGTCAGCGAGTCTGACAAGCCAATCCCGTTAGGTGCCTCTTACGACAAGCTCCAGTCCCGATAACACGAGTGAGTGAGTTTAGTTTTACGCCGCACTCAGCAATATTCCAGCTATATGGCGGCGGTCTGTAAATAATCCAGTCTGGACCAGACAATCCAGTGGTCAACAGCATGAGCATCGATCTGCGCAATTGGGAACCGATGACATGTGTCAACGAGCCTGACCGCCCGATCCCGTTAGTCGCCTCTTATGACAAGCCCCGATAACACGAAGTAAGAAGAAACAATTATTACTACCTCCTGTGAACCTTTACCGAAACATGTATACAAGCCTCTGTAAACACGCCAGTTCAGCACTGGCCTTGTGTATATACAAAGTTTCTATGTACAGTGATTGGGAAATCTTATAGCAGTGTGTGTAAATATACGTGTCGTGGACCAAGCAATCCAGGGGTAACATTAAGATATATCTAATCAATTAGGATACAGAAAGGTTTGTCGGCAATGAAACTTGACCGAGCCGTTACAATGTCAGCTGCCATAATCATCTGGGCACAGGGCTGACAAAATCTGGACTAACTTGTTCAAACCTAGAAATTACAATGATTTACCTTGTTTTTCAAGTTCCCGTTTCTTTCTTTCACGGACACAGGTCCGCTGAAAATATAGAACTTACAGTTACTCAGTATGCGTATCTGTGACATGGAGGCTTCTGACCTTGTCATGGTGAGGCAGTCTTGGAGTGAGTGAGTGAGTTTAGTTTCACGCCGCACTCAGCAATATTCCAGCTATATGGCGGCGGTCTGTAAATAATCGAGCCTGGACCAAACAATCCAGTGATCAACAGCATGAGCATCGATCTGCGCAATTGGGAACCGATGACATGTGTCAACCAAGTCAGCGAGCCTGACCACCCGATCCCGTTAGTCGCCTTTTACGACAAGCATAGTCGCCTTTTATGACAAGAATGGGTTGCTGAAGACCTATTCTACCCCGGATCTTCACGGGTCGAGGCAGTCTGGGAGATTGACTTGACGTGAAATATCGCCTTCAAGACGAGTTGGCGCACATAGCGACAAGCACCTGCTTGTCCGGACATACACTGGCTTCATGGACCTCGTCCATGAGTTTGTGTGTAAATTAACGTGTCTGGACTAGATAATCCAGTGATAACATTAACATCAGTCTAATCAATTAGGATACGATGACATTAAGTCAGGGAGCCAGGACATTTACCCGCAAACAAAACACCTCTTACCACAAACATTTGGTGCTGAAGGCCATTTTTAGACCGACTGTGACCAAGCTTGTCAAACGTGGCAGTTTAACCAAACTGCTCAAAACAGTTTGAAAAGGCTGTTGTTGCCCCACCAGGATTCACAGCTTAGTGAGTGAGTGAGTGAGTTTTACGCCGCTTTTAGCAATATTCCAGCAACAACACGGCGAGGGACACCAGAAATAGGTTTCACACATTGTACCCATTTGGGGAATCAAACCAGGTCTTCAGCGTGACAAGTGGACACTTTAACCATTATGCTACCCCTAATTAGTGAATTTGAGTACGAGTATACTGCTGAAAAACCCAGACGCATTATGAGGGCAAACCTGGAACCGTCGATCAAAGGACATAACTCAGAGTGAATTGCTTCGCCAAAGACCACCGTGACCTGTTAAATGACAAATCTGTTGTCTATACCTACTCCATCACAGTTTTGATGACAAAGGATGACGTCACACTCGAAAGTCAGGCTTTTGTCTCCCCTGATAGAGAAACCTTTGAAATATGGGCTTGTGGCCGTCAACCCGGAAGTGATGAAACCCTGATCCGGTCTGAAAACAGGTTCCACGCCGCACCTGGAAAGAAATCACGTAGAATGTGGAGACTCCTTGTCTGTGAGGAGTTAGTGAGTTTAGTTTTACGCCGCTTTTAGCAATATTCCAGCAATATCACGGCGGGGGACACCAGAAATGGGCTTCACACATTGTGCCCATGTGGGGCCTTGTCTGTAAAGAGTACTCGAATTTAATGTAATAAATAAATCCAACACAATGCCCTGGGACATTCTTGTGGAAGGGTTACAACACGATTGCGAATTTATTTTCCATTCACCTCATTGCGATAATCATTAGGCAGCCTAACTGAACCTAACCAATCCCAACTGAACAATATCCAACCGCAACGCTGTCAGTCACAATGCGTTATGTTTAAAGGCACAATGTCACACATTTCGACAATATTTTGGCCTATATTTTATTGGGGGCATATGCACCCACTTTAGCTTCCTACTGATGCAATAGAAGACTTATTGTCCCTTACGACTTCGAAATCGATAATTGAAACTTCGAGGCGAACAGCTTCCAATCAGACAACGTTTGCCTTATATAGAATGTAAACGATTGCTCCCTACATCGAAAACTGTCGCACGCGGTGTTGTTGGGGTTTGCTGAACTGGTTTAAAAAATCACAAATTGTGCGTAGGGTATTCGTTAAGAGCTTCCAAGGGACATAACTATGGGCTTCGCTTGAAATAATGTTCGGCCGGAAGAGGGCACGAGAGTCGATTTAATGCAACGTTGCATTTATTCATTCGAACTTTTTAATTTGATATTGTAATCTAAATACGTTTTATCATCCAAAACTGTGTTCCACAGTAGACATCGCTTGTGTGAGATCAGACGATATATCCTAGGAGATATCGTTTTGACAGCAGATTTTGTACAATGTCCTGACAATGCTATGACATCATGAACTTGTTGACGTCAAAATGTTATGACATCGCTGCACTGCAAATCTAATGGCAGTACTGTGTTCAGAGATGTACATTTTTCATTGAAAACTAATAAAGAGTGATTTTTTATGATAAATAGAATCTCACCCTCGTGTCTTCTGATATCATATATATCAAACTCGTTGATAAAAGTAAAAATATCCTCGGCAAGCCTCGGATATTTGTAACTTAATCAACTCGTGGTGATATATTTGATATCAGAAGACACTTGGGTGAGATTCTCTCTATATTTTTTGGAATACCATATTTGCTAGCTTCCAAGGGGGCTGATAGTATTATTGAGAGAAATGCATTATGTATTGTGCCTTTAATGCCCAACTGAGCAATATTTCAGGTGCCATATCCACTTAATATGGAAGGACACTTGGCTATCAACTCCCAGTGACAAAACTAGCAGAAAGATGTGACGTACCCATCTCTAATGGCTGCCATGCGTAGATTGTGTTGAATTCTCGTGGTGACAATGTCGCACCTCATCACCTGTAGCCCCACCTCGCCTTTCAATCCTGAAATGGTCACTTTCTCAATTTCAACTACATCAAACCATTGTCAGTAAAGCATTGCTGGATTTGTACAAATACACGTTCTTCAAACATTTGACCAATGAGTGGACACCTATCCAGTTGTCATCGTGTTGTGGCCAGACGTTGTGATACTCCAAGTAACATTTTGATGCTGGGCCAACTTCGGCTGAACATCGTTGGGCCAGCGTCAGAATGCCATCTTGGGTATCACAATCCTGCTCGGTGGGTCTTTCCCGATGGCGCTGAAATCTGATCTGCTAAACCTGTTGCCAAATAGGTTGCAGATAAAGCCTTTCCTGTGACCTGTAACGTCACTGATTCTGGAATAGCTGGGCTGGGTATATCTAAATCAGATGGGACAGGGAAGTCTGTCAAAGATTTCAACTTGTGTAAGAACCTTGACTTAGCCATCTTCTCCTGCCCTTTCTGATTACCAAGGCATACTTCTCAAAAGTGGCAGGAAACATGTTGGCAACGGGAAACAAACGTGCACGGCATATGATTCCCAGCAACCGTCATGCGGATCATGTGCTTGCCACATCTTGAATACTTTTTGTGCCCATCTACCTTTTACCAAAAAAAAAAATCAGAGAAAAAGTAAACACATGTGTTTATGTGAGCCGTCAGGAAAACTTAGGAGTTCGATAGTTTAAGATAAATGATGAATCGGTATTTTCTAAGCCATACAGTGGACGAGTTTCACCAGAACAAGTCTCTTAGTATTTTGAGTGGCTTATCCCGCGGGAAACAATTGTATATTACGGATGCATATTTATGGCAAAAATGAAAATTCAAACCCAGTATATTTTCAACGCAATACTCTTGATTTACATGTTGATTTTCACATTTTTCGTTAAAGGTTACAGCAGTGTTAGGATAGATTTCGAGCTCTTACAGAAATTGGCGTTTGGTAAACCAGCCCACCATTACTCGTTGTTTTACCCGTGTCGTATTGACCTCACCGTCAGTAACGGCATGAAGCACATACGGCCTTCCCCTTTGCAGACTGACGTTATGGAGCTTGTAGCCAGCCACGTTGGTCAAGAAAAGCTTTATATGCTGCCCTTCATTTGCTGATCTCCGAAACCTGAAAGTACGAGGGAAGGTGCTTTTACGACACCTGTAGCGGCATGTTAGTATATCCCGATAACACGGGCTCACAAGACTGAGGTGAAATGGGGTTTAACGTCGTACTTCAAAATATTTCGCTCATATGACGACGTGTATGTGTGTGTAGCTGCTTGTACAAGCCCAGACCTAAGCTGGTTTTATAGTGCTAGCCCACCCAGATACCATGCCGCAGTTAAGCATGAATACCCGACTCAGACACATTATACTGTACCCCAAGGCGACCAGTCCTTGTTGTACCCATTAATGCCGAGCGCCAGGCAGGGACCAACAAGTACCATATTTTAACGTCTTTTGGTATGACGCGGCCGGGGATCGAACTCGTGACCTTCCGCTCTATAGGCGGACGCTCTAACCACTACACCGCAGAGGCGGATCAGGCTCACAAGAAACTGCTTTTAATCATTGGACTTACATGGGGCCTCAAAACGTTTCAAAGACTGGGCCGAATGCCTAAGAACGTGGATAAGGTCACAAACCCCGGTGGGGTTATTATGCAAAACTATCCGGATTCAAATTTTTAACTTTTAAAGTCACCAAACAAACGCGACAGAGTAGATGTGGTGGGTTTCAGGGTTTCAGAGTTTCAGAGAACTGAATATGTAATTGTCTGAGGGTTGCGTGGGTAGAAAACAGAACAACATTCTGCATCCTCCATTAAAAAACTTTGGAATGGCAGGCGATACCAGTTTGGTAGTGATCCATTAATACAAGTTATACAGCTACTGTTCCTTTACACAAAACGACATTCTGAGGCAAGTAAAGACTGGATATTCTTTTGTACTGTCGTTGTACATCGGTCAGATGCAAGGTTCTTTAGAAGGCACATAGTTTAATAGGAATCTCATTCTTCATACCTTGTTTTTAACTGGCTTGGGACCGAGTTGATAAAGGCAGCAGGAAGAACTGAAACCAGAAAGACATTTTGTAATGACAATAGGTCGGCAAATCGTTAAATGCCGTACTCGGCAATATCCCAAACATGTGACGGCGATATGTAAATAATCGAGGGTTGACCAGATAATCCAGTTATTGCATCCATTGATCTACGGCTGTTGGGATACGGAGACATGCAACAGCTAAGTAGGCGAAGCAGACAATTCTATCCCACAAGTCGCCACTTACGACAAGCATGAATTACCCTACAGCAGCACACAGAAGACCCTGGTGGTGATCCCCCAAAAAGCCAGCCACATTCGTTTATTCCACTTTGGGAGAATCCGTTAATTGGTGGGGAAAAGGTTCCCACTGGTTGGTGGAATTTCAGTGTCAGGCTCGCTGACTTGGTCGATTGAGGGGTGAGCTAGTTGTGTTTATCACCATTCTGATCATCCTTTGTGAAGGCTCATAGCTTGTGTCCTTCGAGTGAGTGAGTGAGTTAGCAAACGAGCATGGTTTTAAACCGCTTTTAGCAATATTCCAGCAATATCACGGAGGGGTACACCAGAAATGGGCTTCACACATTGTACCCATGTGGGAAAACGAACCCAGGAATTCGGCGATGAAACAACGCTTTAACCACAAGGCTACCCCAACGCCCCTCCTGTGAGAGAATCAAACATAAGACACTGGTCTGAGTCCTAGCATGGATCTTGCAGGTCATCACAACACACATGCAATCCTGCTGACCATGGGCAAACATTCCCAGTGTCAACTTACCGGCGTCGGGTGCTCTTCGAGGTCTTTGCTTGTTACAGGAGCTCTGAAACGAGACCATTACCTTTCAGGCCGTTTTTAGCAATATTCCAGCAATACCACGACACTAGAAATGGGTTTCACGCAAAGGACACTATTCCCTTGCTTACCTGGGTCGGGGGCTCTTCGAGGTCTTTGCTTGCCACAGGAACTCTGAAATGAGATTATTGCCTAACACAGGGAAGTCCCAACTAGAGAATACTGATGGTAGAGCTATCTTTTGAATATTTCGCACACTGACATTTCAGCCGAGTCTTCTAAAGAGAAAACATCATCCTTTTGGGATATGGGGTTCACGCAATGGACGCTAGAAATGGAATGATGGAATGAACGCTATAAATGGAAAGGATGCTAGAAATGGAATGAACGCAAGAAATGGAAAGAACGCAAGAAATGGAATGAACGCAAGAAATGGAAAGAACGCAAGAAATGGAAAGAACGCTAGAAATGGAAAGGACGCTAGAAATGGAATGAACGCAAGAAATGACTGACTGACTGACTGACTGAGTTTGGTTTTAAACCGCTTCTAGCAATATTTCAGGAATATCACGGAGGGGTACACCAGAAATGGGCTTCACACATTGTACCCATGTGGGGAAACGAACCCAGGAATTCGGCGATGAAACAACGCTTTAACCACAAGGCTACCCCAACGCCCCTCCTGTGAGAGAATCAAACATAAGACACTGGTCTGAGTCCTAGCATGGATCATGCAGGTCATCACAACACACATGCAATCCTGCTGACCATGGGCAAACATTCCCAGTGTCAACTTACCGGCGTCGGGTGCTCTTCGAGGATTTTGCTTGTTACAGGAGCTCTGAAACGAGACCATTACCTTTCAGGCCGTTTTTAGCAATATTCCAGCAATACCACGACACTAGAAATGGGTTTCACGCAAAGGACACTATTCCCTTGCTTACCTGGGTCGGGGGCTCTTCGAGGTCTTTGCTTGCCACAGGAACTCTGAAATGAGATTATTGCCTAACACAGGGAAGTCCCAACTAGAGAACACTGATGGTAGAGCTATCTTTTGAATATTTCGCACACTGACATTTCAGCCGAGTCTTCAAAAGAGAAAACATCATCCTTTTGGGATATGGGGTTCACGCAATGGACGCTAGAAATGGAATGAACGCTATAAATGGAAAGGACGCTAGAAATGGAAAGGACGCTAGAAATGGAAAGAACGCAAGAAATGGAATGAACGCAAGAAATGGAATGACCGCTAGAAATGGAAAGAACGCAAGAAATGGAAAGGACGCTAGAAATGGAATGAACGCAAGAAATGACTGACTGACTGACTGAGTTTGGTTTTACGCCGCTTCTAGCAATATTTCAGGAATATACTTCACATATTGTACCTATGTGGGGAATCGAACCCGGGTCTTAGGCGTGACGAGCGAACGCTTTAACCACAAGGCTACCCCACTGCCCAGCGCAACAATTTGAACGAAAGTACTCTAAACAAGTACTCTAAATTTCTGACAAGCTCTAGAGAGGCGCAAAGCGCATGAGATGACTGTCCCACCAGTGACTCCAGAATATACCCCGACAAACCGACATTGCCTGTCTATAACACTTACCCCGTCACATGGTGTTTTACAAAAAGGTAAAGTTGCAGTCAAACGTGATTGACTTGTCATTTTCGAGTTGAAACATATTGAAGTATGGACTGATGGCGGTCAGTCCTTTCGTGACGAAACCCAGCTTCTTCTTGAACACTTGACCGACGCCACAGCTGGAAGTAAAAGAAAGATTATTACTCAGAAAAGGGCTTCACACACTGAACTTCATGAGCTGATTCAGAATTCAGCTATCTTCTTGTACTAATGAAGCAAAGGCGTAATCTGCAGCCTTCAATGGTGCCATGTCTGAAATTATTGTTCCTGAGAAATCGTAAACGATAGAGCAGGTTTGGAGATAACTTTAAATGTGCTAGTGTACTCCGGTAAAGTGGCACATGTAAAATCACTTGCCCTCATAATTTTTCCACTATACCGGCCATTTTCTCGTTGATTTTTTAAATAAACATAATTAACATCGGAAAGTCAACTGGACACCGGTACAGTGTGATATACAAATTTGCTTGCCCGACAGAAAAAAACACTGGACTCGGACATCGGGCAATAGGTTATTTCCACCCCTGTAGAGATTGTTACATCCACATGTAGTAAGCCTGTTCTTCATGGACTTTTTGTTCCACCGTGAACCAATCCAATCTGTTGTGTAGGCTGAGTGAATGTGTGAAGGAGTGAGTTTTACCCCGCACTCAGCAATATTCCCGCTATATGGCGGCGATCTGTAAATAATCGAGTCTGGACCAGACAATCCAGTGATCAACAGCATGAGCATCAATCTGAGCAATTGGGAACCGATGACATGTGTCAACCAAGCCAGCGAGCCTGACCACCCGATCCCGTTAGTCGCCTCTTACGACAAGCATGGGTTACTGAAGGTTCATTCTAACCCGGACCATCACGGGTGTTGTCGTGTAGGCTGAGGTTGTCGTAAAATAAGTTGCATCTCAGCTAGGGCAGGACACAATGACCTGGTAGTTTGAGAGCTTGGGAAACACTCTCAGAGAGGCCTCCCTGGAGTGAGTGAGTGAGTGAGTTTAGTTTTACGCCGCTTTTAGCAATATTCCAGCAATATCACGGCGGGGGACACCAGAAATGGGCTTAACACATTGTACCCACGTGGGGAATCGAACCCGGGTTTTCGGCGTGATGAGCGAACGCTTTAACCACTAGGCTACCCCACCGCCCCTGGCCTCCCTGGAAACCAGGTCCTGTTGGGTCAGGCCGGAGTTAGGAGTCAAGTCATGCAGTTGACAAATATACCATGTCAACTCAATAACAGGGGGTCCAGGGCCAATATTTTCGAAGCGCTAAGAGAACTTCGAAAATCTAGGCCCAAGGGGCGTGGCTCATGTTAGTGGAGTGTGGGTTGTGGTTGTGGGTTGTGGTTGTAGAGGGTGGGTCGTGGTTGTAGGGTGTGGGTTGTGGTTGTAGAGTGTGGGTTATGGGTTGTAGGTTGTGGCTGTAGTGTGTGGGTAGTGGTTATGGGTTGTGGTTGATGGTTGTGGCTGTAGGATGTGGGTTATGGGTTGTGGTTGTAGGGTGTCGGTTGTAGGTTATGCTGACTGACTGACTGAGTTTAGTTTCACGCCGCTTTTAGCAATATTCCAGCAATATCACGGCGGGGGACACCAGAAATGGGCTTAACACATTGTGCTCATGTGGGGATTCTTCGGGGTGACGAGCCAACGCTTTAACCACTAGGCTACCCCCACCGCCCCTTGTAGGTTATGGGTTGTGGTTGTAGGGTGTGGGTAATGGGTTGTGTTTGTAGGTTGCAGTGTGTGGGTTGTGGTTGTAGGTTGTGGGTGGTTGTGTGTGGGTTGTAGTGTGTGGGTTGTAGTGTATGGGTTGTGGTTGTAGGGTGTGGGTTGTGGCTGTAGAGTGGGTTGTAGTGTATGGGTTGTGGTAATGGGTTGTGGTTGTAGGTTGTGGTTGTAGGTTGTGGGTTGTGGTTGTAGTGTGTGGGTTGTAGTGTATGGGTTGTGGTTATGGGTTGTGGTTGTAGGGTCTGGGTTGTGGTTGTAGAGTGGGTTGTAGTATATGGGTTGTGGTTGTCGGTTGTGGTTGTGGTTGTAGGATGTGTGTGGGTTGTGAATATGGGTTGTGGTTGTACAGTGTGGGTTGTGGTTGTGGTTGTAATGTGTGGGTTGTGGTTGTAATGTGTGGGTTGTGGCTGTAGGGTGTGGGTTGTGGTTGTAGGTTGTGGTTGTAGTGTATGGGTTGTGGTTGTAGGGTGTGGGTTGTGGTTGTAGGGTGTGGGTTGTAGTGTATAGGTTGTGGTTGTCGGGTCTGGGTTGTAGAGTGGGTTGTAGTATATGGGTTGTGGTTGTAGGTTGTGATTGTGGTTGTAGGATGTAGTGTGTGGGTTGTGAATATGGGTTGTGGTTGTAGAGTATGGGTTGTGGTTGTGGTTGTAATGTGTGGGTTTTGGCTGTAGGGTGTGGGTTGTGTATGGGTTGTGGTTGTAGGGTGTGGGTTGTGGTTGTAAGTTGTAGTGTATGGGTTGTGGTTGTAGGATGAAGTGTGTGGGTTGTGAATATGGGTTGTGGTTGTAGAGTGTGGGTTGTGGTTGTAATGTGTGGGTTTTGGCTGTAGGGTGTGGGTTGTAGTGTATGGGTTGTGGTTGTAGGGTGTGGGTTGTGGTTGTAGGGTGTGGGTTGTAGTGTATGGGTTGTGGTTGTAGGGTCTGGGTTGTAGAGTGGGTTGTAGTATATGGGTTGTGGTTGTAGGTTGTGGTTGTGGTTGTAGGATGTGTGTGGGTTGTGAATATGGGTTGTGGTTGTAGAGTATGGGTTGTGGTTGTGGTTGTAATGTGTGGGTTTTGGCTGTAGGGTGTGGGTTGTGTATGGGTTGTGGTTGTAGGGTGTGGGTTGTGGTTGTAGGTTGTGGTTGTAGTGTATGGGTTGTGGTTGTAGGGTGTGGGTTGTGGTTGTAGGTTGTGGTTGTAGTGTATGGGTTGTGGTTGTAGGGTGTGGGTTGTGGTTATGGGTTGTGGTTGTAGGGTGTGGGTTGTGTTTATGGGTTGTGGTTGTAGGGTGTGGGTTGTGGCTGTAGGTTGTAGTATATGGGTTGTGGTTATGGGTTGTGGTTGTAGGGTGTAGGTTGTGGCTGTCGGGTGTGGGTTGTAGTGTATGGGTTGTATGGGTTGTGGTTGTAGGGTGTAGGGTGTGGTTGTAGGGTGTGGGTTGTGGTTGTAGGGTGTGGGCTGTAGTGTATGGGTTGTGGGTGTAGGTTGTAGAGAGGTGAAATAGGGTTTTACGTCGTGCTTGAGAATATCTCGCTCATATGACGACGCGTATGCGTGTGTATGTATAGGTGCACCTGCTTGTACTGTGGTTGTAGAGCGTGGGTTGTAGTGTGTGGGTTGTGGTTGTAGAGCGTGGGTTGTGGTTGTGGTTGTGGTTGTAGGTTGTAGTGTGTGGGTTGTTGTAGAGCGTGGGTTGTCGTTGTAGAGCGTGGGTTGTTGTTGAAGGGTGTGGGTTGTTGGTGTGGGTTGTGGTTTTGGTTGTAGGTTGTGGCTGTAGGGTGTGGGTTATGGGTTGTAGTGTGTGGGTTGTTTTTGTAGGGTGTGGTTTTGGTTGTAGGTTGTGGTTGTAGGGTGTGGGTTATGGGTTGTGGTTGTAGGTTGTTGGGTGTCAGTTGTGGTTGTAGGTTGTTGGGTGTCAGTTGTGGTTGTAGGATATGGGTTGTGGTTGTGGGTTGTGGTTGTAGGGTGTGGGTTGTGGTTGTAGGGTGTGGGTTGTGGTTGTAGGGTGTGGGTTGTGGTTGTAGGGTGTGGGTCATGGGTTGTGGTTATGGGTTGTGGTTGTAGGGTGTGGGTTATGGGTTGTGGTTGTAGGACGTGGGTTGTGGTTGTAGGGTGTGAGTGTGGTTGTAGGGTGTGGGTTGTGGTTGTAGGTCATGGGTTGTGGTTGTGGTTGTGGGTTGTGGTTGTAGGTCGTGGTTGTAGGGTGTGGGTTGTGGTTGTAGGTCATGGGTTGTGGTTGTGGTTATGGGTTGTGGTTGTAGGTCGTGGTTGTAGGGTGTGGGTTGTGGTTGTAGGTCAAGGGTTGTGGTTATGGGTTGTGGTTGCAGGTTGTGGTTGTAGGGTGTGTGGGTTGTGGTTGTAAGGTGTGGGTTGCGGTTGTAAGGTGTGGGTTGCGGTTGTAGTGTGTGGGTTGTGGTTGTAAGGTGTGGGTCATAGCTTATAAACACGAAGCTTATTGTTATGCTTCTCATTTTGACAGTTCCATTTGGATATCTCTGGAATGAAACATCAATCCAAAGGGACGATCTTGTTTGCCGGGACGGGCGATCTGCCATGTTAAACTTGCCCCGTTTGTGAAGTGTATCCACCTTGCAGCTGACGGAGTATGTGTAACACCCCAGTGCTTTCAACACAAGTTAATTCTACATCTGCAAACAAATCCAATTGCTACCTCAACCAGAATATGGAATGGTTGGCCTTTTTGAATTCTTACCCATCTTTTATTACTTGATATCTTTCTCCTGTCTTTCTGCCAACAGCTTCACAAGATGTTATTCGCAAACCCTTCTCTCCAGAAGAACCTATCAAGACACATAAAAGAGGTCAAGGTTACAAGACTCATCGTTACACCAGTACAATACCGACCCATGTGAGGAACTAGGTATGATTCAATCTGGTGACGGGGCGGTGGGGTAGCCTAGTGGTTAAAGCGTTGGCTCGTCACGCCATAGACCCGGGTTCGAATCCCCACATGGGTACAATGTGTGAAGCCCATTTCTGGTGTCCCCCGCCGTGATGTTGCTGGAATATTGCTAAAAGCGGCGAAAAACCAAACTCAGTCAGTCAGTCAGTCAATCTGGTGACTTTTCCAATCAGCCAATCAGTGCCAAGGCTGTCAGTTCTCGACAGGAGTAAACAAAAAGTCAGACAAACTAACATGATTTCGGCATCTCTAAACTAACTGAAATGTTAGGTTCCGAATACAAATGATTAACACTGTATATGCTTCACGGTCAGATATTTCATGAGATTGAGACAATGTGTCAAATACCGTCAAATGATTAACACTGTATATGCTTCACGGTCAGATATTTCATGAGATTGAGACAATGTGTCAAATACCGTCAAATGTTTAACACTGTATATGCTTCACGGTCAGATATTTCATTAGATTGAGACAATGTGTCAAATACCGTCAAATGATTAACACTGTATATGCTTCACGGTCAGATATTTCATGAGACTGAGACAATGTGTCAAATCCCGTCAAACCCACATTGTCCAACAGCGTCATCACGTGACCCTTAGTATCGTTTGCTGTTAAAGACTGCAGACCCGTATCCCTGTGTCATGAAAAACTATACTGAATAAAGTTTAGGATCCCCTATATGTTTGGTTGTATTGTCTATATTAGTTTTATAATGAGTGAGTGAATTTGGTTTTACGCCGCTTTAGCAATATTCCAGCAATATCACGGCGGGGGACACCAGAAATGGGCTTAACACATTGCACCTATGTGGGGAATCGAACCCGGGTCTTCGGAGCGACGAGCGAACGCCTTAACCACTAGGCTACCCCACCGCCCCAGTTTTATAATGAAGTCTGATGACACACATTCCTTGGGTTTAACGTCGTGCTTGAGAATATTTCGTTCATATGACGACGAGCATCGTGTGTATGTGTATGTGTATGTGCGGCTGCTTGTACTAGCCCAGACTGAAGCTGGTTTTATAGTGCTAGCCCACTGAGATACCATGCCGCAGTGAAGCATGAATACCCCACTCAGACACATTATACTGACTCCGAGCCGACCACTCCTTGTTGTACCCATTAATGCCGAGCGCCAGGCAGGGACCAACAAGTACCGTATTTTAACGTCTTTTCGAATGACGCGGCCGGGGATCGAACCCGTGACCTTCCGCTCTCCGAGCGGACGCTCTAACCACTACACCACGGAAGCGGTCCTGACACACATTCATAAAAACAAATATATGATGATTCCTTACGTTTATTTGTTCAGTATTTAATATGAGGTTCTTCAACATTACCTTGATCATCAGTCGCATCGAACATATGGACGTTCTCTAGATGGTTGACGAGTGAGTGAGTAAGTGAATTTAGTTTTACGCCGCTTTTAGCAATATTCCAGCAATATGACGGCGGGGGACACCAGGAATGGGTTTCACAGACTGTACCCATGTTGGGGTTGAGGTGATGAAGAATGATGCTAATGTTATAGATATAAAACTTCTGTATTCGGTGAAAGGCAACGTTTCGACATAGATTCTAATGTCGTTGTGAAGCATTGTTCATGTGGACGTACTGTAAAGGATTACACCAAGATATTCCGACACGCCGTGACGTTGCTAAAAGCAAGGTTAAGTCAGTCAGTGTAAAATCAAGACACGCACCGTCAGTGGAGGCGACCAGAAGAACCTTCCTTCCCAGAACGATCTTGCCCTTCAGTCTGTGCCTCGCTATGTCAGTGACTGACAGCTTCAGCTTCGAGTCTGACCTCTGGCCTGATCTGGACTTTTGACCTTTGTTGTACGTGCTTCCGTTCTGTGCAATCACTCTGAAACACATTGTTAAAAACAAAACAAAACCATAAGTGGAGTGGAGAACAGTCACAAGGCCACTGAGTGAGTGAGTGAGTATTACACCGCTTTCAGCCATATTCCAGCAATATCAGGGAGGGGGACACCAGAAATGGTCTTCACACATTATACCCACGGGGGGAATCGAACCCGGGTCTTCGGCGTGACGTACCACCTTCTACTCACCTTCCCTTTATCTGTTTCTTCCCGCTGGTGTTCGAGCCTTTCCTGTCCAAGGTGCAGGTAACGGTAACTATTTCTTCAGCCTCTCCAAAGGAGACGATGACTCGAATGAAATACACGTCGGTACTTCCACGTTGCTTCAAAAAGACAAAATATGTTTAAGCAAGTTTTGGTCAGAGTAAATACCGGAGTAAATATTTTTTGTTGAGGTCCTTACGACTATTTTCTGCATCTAAGATAAACACAATTTTCATTGTCTTATCGTCCTATTACACAACCAACAGGTGCAACGTTAATTTTAACACTCTTGTTTACCTTGAATTCGCAGTCTCGGATCAGTTTGCCACCAGGATAGGCCACGTCAAGAGTCAAGGTAGTGCTGTCAACCTCTGTGAATTCCACCGGCGTCACGTCCTGGCAGAAGGCGTTAGCGTATACGTTCACGTCGGTTTTGATTGTGATGGTGGCTCCTTGGTCTGGATTGGTTGAGCACAGAGGCCTCACTGGAACAGAGGGAGGGGGGGAGGGGGGAGGGGGGTTTAACGCTGCATCTAATATCCTTTGCGCTGGGCGTGAGCCGTGTTTAAAGCTGTCCCGAACAGTATATAACAGTGTGCAAGTTTGATGTGGGAGTGAGTGAGCTGGGTCTCAAGCCATTTTGAAAGCATTTCAGTTATATTACGAATCTGCACGCAGTCTAAGTAAACTTACTGCGGCGTAAACCTAAACTCACTCACTAAGTAAACTTAGGCTCAGTATTATTCGTTACACTGCTATACTGAGTCTAACAAAACCAAGTAGAAGGTCGCGTCTGCTAACCTTTTGGACTGACCAATCAGAACACAGCTTACCAAATCGCGAAAGGTAGTATTCGCACATACCGTTTGAACATTTACCTCAAAAACTCGAACGATTCCGAATGCTATTTTCCGCACGATTGCTTCCGAGTGATACACGCAATGAGTAAACAGTCGCTGAAAATAGCGTTTTTGTCAATATTCAAGGATGTCATCTTGCGAAAATATAAGCAAATAGTAACCATGTCATCAGAAACCCATAAGCGTATATACTGCAGGTCAAATATCTGTGTTTTATGCGGATTTTCGTTTGTTTATAGATCTGTGTCAGCGACCAGGGAAAAAGAAAATCCCAAAGTCCCGCCGAACCCTAACAAGAAGTCGTTGTCTGATTGGTTAATCAGTTCGGCCGTCTTGCCTTTGATTGGACGGTCAAAGGTCGCTCAAAGGTTAACTTCTACCAGGTCTTGTTAGACTCTGTATAGCAGTGTAACGAATTATACTAAGTCTAAGTTTACTGAGGGAGTGAGTTTAGTTTTACGACGCACTCAGCAATATTCCAGCTATATGGCGGCAGTCTGTAAATAATCGAGTCTAAACCAGACAATCCAGTGATCAACAACATGAGCATCGATCTGCGCAATTGGGAACCGATGACATGTGTCAAAGTCAGCGAGCCTGACCACCCCATCCCGTTAGTCGCCTCTTAAAGTTTACTTAGACTGAATCTGCACGGGTACATGGTGCTGAGAGGGAGAATCGGGTTCAAACCCACGATAATATTTTCAGCACGCCTAAGGGACAGTGGGTGAGGGTGAGAGTGCGCATGGTTTTACGCCTTTTTTAAAGCAATATTCCAGCAATATCAAGGCGGTGGACATCAGAAATGGGCTTCACACGTTGTACCCATGTAGGAATAGAACCCGGGTTTTCGGCGTGACGAGCGAACACTAGGCTACCCCACCGCCCCCACTTAAGGGACAACTCTTAAAAGGAAAAAAAACAGTCCAAGGTGGGAGTTTTGATCCTCTTAATACAACCACGTATAACCCCTTTCCTGTCAACGATAAAACGGACACAGTGGATTCTAATTCGCTACACTTTCCACAATCACACCTGTATGGAATGTAAACATTTCACACGGTGCTCCCTTATGTGTATTTATTGAGAACTACTCACCTTCAGGTGTTGACGCTGAAGTTACACCCTGCAACAACCACGTATTGAGTAGTGAGTGAGTGAGTGAGTGAGTCGTACTTTAAGTCGATTCAACAATATCCAAGAAAAATCGTGGGACATGAGGCACCAATTCTCAGAGAGAATGCCCAATTACCTATTTCTTCTGTCGTTTTGATTTGTACTTGTTTAGCAGACGAATACACACGAATAAACGTCAAATACGCATCCAGTACCACCAAGTAAACATGGTATAATTCGTAGAAATCAACTGGAAATCACAATTTTATTTGTAACAATCAAAACATGCGTCACCATTTATTCATTCTTGGTGTCGCCATAGCTGTAGTGTTTAAACAAATGGATACAATTAGTATGCTCACCATCATAGGTGTTTAAAATCACTCCCCATAGTTTGTACGTACATGAATGTAAAACCTATGAAAAAATGAAGGGATTATCATAATAAACAAAACAAATGTGACACTACGAAATATATCGCCACAATAGCGGTAATCTACGTTACAGAACGTAAAATGCAGTGTAAAATACGTATATATTGACAAACATTTGTTTTAAAAGATCGCAAGTTTTTACTGGATATATTATATGTAGAAACAGTGTCGTCTTGAAACATATCGTACTATATAAAACCGTACACAAAGACGAACCCGGTCTATAAAAATAGTTGTGTTAAGCATGAAAGCTAAGTTACCATTACTGTACGGAAACATTAATAACAGCTACCTATAAAAGTGATTAGAATGAATGCTTTGTGTTTTCATAGTGTAATAAACCCGTAAAGGGAGTGCAATATGCCTCCAATCAAGATCATGGTAGTTTGTAAACGGTGACAGTAATCTACGTTACCACCTGATATGGAATCTTACAAAATATTACTGGAAATAGAAGATTTCGCTTCGTAGCATAGTCAGAGAACCCAGGCAAATAATTTGATAACCTACAACAGTTGCCATCGGTTGCTGGCACATGATCGCAGCACTTCAGTGACATTTCACGAAATTCAAATTTGGAAGGTAAACTTCATTATTCAGGAAATTCCCTGTGAAACAGGTAAGATTGCTTGTTAATTTACTTCATTATAGGGATATAGTTTCACAATATTTCAAAACAATTGTTCTACTGTTGAGAATTTCTTCGGTAGAAGCATTTGGAAATTATCACTATATTTGGGTGTCGTTAGCCATCATATCAAAAGATTGACAAAAGTTGTATTTCGTGAAGCTTGTATCAATTCTGTTAATATCACATAGATCTTTTTAGACATATTGATATTGACCCTAAACGTATGATATTTCAATCTCTCCAAAAACTAACATATCTTTCACCCCAAGTTTGTACTTGCTCCTCAAAGTATGGTAACGAAGATTGCAATGAATCAAGTAATACCTTCATAACTATCACATGGTCCGGGAACTGTTATGAATATTTTATTTATTGCTGATGAAGTAGCAATAATGACTTTCATATAGTTGTATAATCAGTCTTTATGAAAACGATTATTACGTCCAATGAATTAGTTTGTAAGGTAACGTAGATTACAGTTTGGTAACGTAGATTACAAAAAATATCATTGTTGAATTCTTACAGAATGGGCAAGACTCATGCCGAGATCCAGCGGGATTTACGGACAAGGGAATAGGGAGAAAGAAGGAATGAATGTTATTCATGTGAACAAGTGTTTTTAGTGCAAATCTGTAATCTACGTTACAAAGGCATTCATTCACAACCTGATCAATAATATTACCTTTCATAAATGCTGTTGTATTGTCAGTGAAGTTCATGATATTACCCCTCAGATGTCGATTCTTTTTGTCGACTTCTTTTGCGTAAAGAACTGCAGTTGACAGTATATCATAAAGTTATATTTTCAAGAGCTTTGACTTGATCAACATTATTGTTATAATGCTTACAAACTCAACTGAGTGGAGAGGATGTTACATGTAATGTTGTTTGCTTAACGAAACACAACTTTGGGATTAACGACTGAACTTTGTGAATGATATCTCCCTTCAATGTGTTATGAAGCCATCATATTGATCAGTCACGTAGATTACAACGATCGTGTAGGGTGGTATTGTATGAGATGTGATGGCATTTTTACAAGCTCCCCTTGAGTGCTACAATTTCTGATTTTCGTTCGTGACACTTTCTTCAATAAAACAGCAACAACAAGTGGCAGAAATATTGTCTTTAGTATTTTACGATTTGTGTCTTTCAAATTGGGCATTCTCTGTGAGAATTGGTGGTGACCCCCTGGCAAGGGAGTGTTTGGGGGAGTGGGTGGGGGCGCCAATATTGGCTTCAGCATTGGGCTTGTACCAATGTGGGGAATCGAACCGAACCGAATATGCGTGAAGAACGAACGCCTTAACCGCTTGGCTTCTCCAGTCGGATACACGGAATACATAGCTTTAACGTCGTATTCAAGATTTCTGCACTTATATATACGACGACCGTATAGCGTTAGCCTCAGGACACAATGTTGCAGTTTCACAGGGACACCTCACTCAGTGTACACTCCGAGATGACCAGGTAATATCTAACACAAGGCAGAGTAACAATTAGTTGGTTGGTTGGTTGTTTAACGCCGCACTCAGCAACATTCCAGCTACATGGCGGCGGTCTGTAAATAATCGAGTCTGGACCAGAATATCCAGTAATATGCTGTGACTATCCAGTGATTAATGAGCGCAGGATAATTTGCATTGATGAGAGGTCCAACCGCCCCAAAACACAAAAAATTAAGGAAGTCCTCATTTAACAACCTGGAGGGGTCTGGGGTTATTGTTTGAGACGAAGCTATTCAGGCAAGCTTTCAATACAAACACTTTTTGTCTGACGGAAGGCGAACAACGTGTCTAAGAATATTCAAATAATTGGTAATTTAGAATTAGTTTGTCACTCGGTATTTTGAGGAAGTAATATGAAAGAACAATAATAAAAAAAACAAACAACAGCAACAACAAAACCAACCCAAAAGAAACAACAACAACAAAAGACAACCCAAAATTGTCAAAACAAACCCCAACAAAACAACTCAACCGTCTTTAAATTCAAATTTAATATTAATACGTGTGGTGTTAAAAAATAGAAGACGTATATCTCACACAATTCTACACAATTGACACTATTTAAAATAACCTACTTTTGACCAGTATAGGACGTTCTCAAAACTTGAAGAATTACATATATTTCCCTGCATGCACAGAACCGATCCAAAGAATGGTCAAGGTGTTTTGAAACATCATAGAAGCGTTCGTAAAATGATAAATTACGAGCAAGACTCAACCACTATCTGCATCAGACAATCCAGTGATCAACAGCATGAACATCGATCTGTGCAATGGGAACCGATAAGCCTGACCACCCAAACCCGTTAGTTGCCTCTTACGACACGCATGGGTTACTGAAGGCCAATATTCTAACCGGATCTTCACGGGGCTCTGCACTGACCTAACGAGCCACGTATCAAACGATACCAGCATGGATCAGGCAAACACTTAAACTTGCTGTGCTAACTAAAGTCCAGGGCCCGGTTGTTCAAAAGCCTGTTAAATTTTAACGGACCGTCTACGCTAAGAGAGCAAAAGCCTGTTGCTCAAATCGCCGTTAACCTATAACGGCCCGTTAAGACCACGCTAACTTAACGTAAGGGGAGGTGGTACATTAGCACACTAACGTTACCATTAGCATTAGTTCTACACCTAGCTGCATGGTGACAACATGACGTTTATTGTCCAGCCTAATGCAGCATTCATGAACGTTAGACCACAAAGAAAACCTAAGGAATTCAGATTTTTTTTCTGTTGAGTTTAATGAAGTGGAATTACACCAAAGATACCGATTTGAGAGATTCCATTGACTTTATAATATCTTTGGTTCGTGCCGATGTGGAGAGACCTAAAAAAGGAACCATGACATTTTGACAGGGAATCATGGGACTGTGTGCAAGGAATTGTGGGTAATGGTTAGGTCCTTAACAGGCTGTTAACCTCTAATCATACCATTAGTTACCGGCCTGTTAAAATTACCTTCCAGCAACCAAATGTTACCCTACTCTTAACTAACTTTTCGTTAGCTATTTAACGGGTTCTTAGTGTTTAACGGTATGTTAAAAGAACGGCGTTTTGAACAACCGGGCCCAGGTGAACTAGTGCTTGTGTCATCAGTGAGCCAGTCAGGGTAAAAACAAGTACCATATTTAAACGTCTCATTTTATGCACATTAAATGAAACACCGAGACCAAATGGGGTTGGTCTTTAGAAGTTAACGCTCATCACGCACCGCACGTGCATTTGTTTGACAGTTCCAAATACTGCGCTTACCCCCTTGTAATACAAACCGATAATAGCGATTAAAATCTATGATCGTTTGTTAAACAACTTGTATCCGAAGGCTCAAATTCTGAGATTTAGATGACATACCAGCAATACTGAAAGACGTACCAGCAATACGTACCAGCAATACTGAAAGACGTACCAGCAATACGGACAGTAAACACAGCGCCGCAGTCATGGTTGGAGAACTTGATGGAGCTGAAAGAGACAAATTGGTATTTGCATTTGTGATGCTTCCTAACATCCAACTTTATGCTAATGTGGAAGCCAAACGTTTGTTCTGTAATGGTGCACTCGGTAGTGTACAGTCTATGTAACGGACCAGATAATCTGGTGATTGCCATCTGCAACAATCTACACAACCGGGATACCATGATATGCACAAACCAAGTCATCGAGGTACACGACTCTCACAATGAGCTGGTGAAGACCAATCCTAGCCTGGATGCTTGTGAGGCACACGGTAGACAGTCTTATGCCATAGATATTTAAAATCATAAAAACCGATTTGTCGATTCAGGAGATTAAATTCTGATAAGGCTGCTAGAAAAAGCGACGTATATATATATATATATATTTGAACATCAATCTTAAGTTATAAAGGAATAAGATGTTTTTGTTTGTTTTTTTGGTTGTTTAACGCTGCACTAAACAAAATTCCAGTTTAAAAATATAAGGCGGTCTGTAAATAATCGAGTCTGGTTCACACAATCCAGTGATCAACATCGAACCAGGTAATTGGGAACATGTGTCAATCTAGTCATCCACCCTGACAACCAGGTCACGTTGATCGCCTCTTACATGCAGGAGTTACTGAACACCAACACTAACCCGGATCATCACGGGTAGACTAAACAATAACTAATTCATTGGCGATTCACATCTGTTTGTGAGATATTGGGGCGGACGTATTACCTCAAACAATGTAACCAAACGGAGGAAGGTTTCAAATACTTACACACACACCAACCATATGCCTCAATGTCGTCTGTGTTGACCGGGTACAAGCGTGCAGCGCGTGCCTGAAGAGCCCGGATGTAAACCCGTGCAAACCTTGCAGAAAATGTGAAGATGGCGCCAAGCTCTCTTCTCAGCTCTCAGCCAAATTATCTTCTAATTTTCCACTTACCCTGATTTCATGACATAATTATGATGATGTAATTATGAAAGAAGAAATCAACATGGTATTTGATGTTAATGTTTAATGGACTATTTATTAAAAAGTGATAAATAGCAAAGAAAGATAACTCTACTTTATTCTCATTGCGAAATGTAATAGCTACATTTTGAGCAGATATGAAATGAAATCCAAGTTTATTTGCAATTTGAAACCATAAGTGGAAATTATCTTCTAGCTCACGGACAAGTAAGATACCATTATTTGATTGCCCGAAATGAAAACTGACTTGTCCCGGGCGTCGGGCGATGGGATTTTTGAACCCCTGTATAATTAAAACTTGTAAAATATTTAAAAAAAAATACCAATGCAAGAAAAGAATTAACTGTTTATTCAAGATTTGTGAGTGAATTAATAATTGTTATTATACTGACATATTATGAATATCTTCATATACATGTCTAAATTTTAACCCGACCGTCGGGCAAGTGAATTTGATAATCTGGCAGTCCATGTTGAAAATAACCCGTCCCGGGCGGTCGAACAGGCAGGTATTTCGAACGCTGTTATTGTGTATTTTTAACCAACACACTCCGAAAAGGGGCGGTGGGGGTAGCCCAGTGGTTAAAGCGTTGGCTCGTCACGCCGAAGACCCGGGTTCGATTCCCCATATGTGTACAATATGTGAAGACCATTTCTGGTGTCCCACGCCGTGATATTGCTGGAAAATTGCTAAAAGCGGCGTAAAACCATACTCACACTCCGAAAACCACTGTGTCATCGAGGCAGACTTAAAGTAGTCTCGGATGATACTAAATCACGCGAGATCAAGTGTATTTTGAGGAAAATACGGTATTTCACCATAAACTACCTGATAAACGTACAGTCCTGGGCCTAGATTTTCGAAGATCTCTTAGCGCTAAGATAGTCGTAAATTAATGTTAATGTATGGCACTTACGATTATCTTAGCGCTAAGAGAGCTTCGAAAATCTAGGCCCTGGTCTGTCACGTCGACATTCAGGCATACAAGTCGGGGAATAGTCTTCTCCTTTGCCATGCTAACATTTAGTGGGCGTGGTCACACTGTGCTACCGATTTATACCTCATAGACGTTCTCTGCGGGATCAACAGTTTGATGTTCCAGGTGTAGATAGATCGGGAAACCTTGATGACTTGATATCAGCATATTTCTTGTGGAATCTTCAAGGAGACAAGGGGCGGTGGGATAGCCTAGTGGTTAAAGCGTGCGCTCGTCAGATCTGGCGTCCCCCGCCGTGATGTTGCTGGAATATTGGCGGCGTAAAACTCACTCAAGGAGACAAGTATGGTTTGTTGGGGTCAGGTCGAACCCAGATCTTCACCAGTGAAAACAAGCATGGTATACTGAAGACGAATCAAAACCCTTATCGTCAAGGGGCATCTTTCTCTTACTATGCAAGGCATATGTTCAAGCAAAAGAGAAGGTTGAATATGTTGTTTTCTTATCTTGAAAGAATCCCCAACATGCCCTAAGCACCAGAAAAGCAAACAGTTTTCGTCCTCAGGAAATAAGTCGAGAGTTAAGTGTTAGTTTCCATGTTGAAACAATAATTTAACCCAAGAAATCCACAGGCTAAAGAATTCAATGTGAACCAACAAACACTCAGAAATGTTATCTAATTGACAGCTGTGTCACAGAATCAACTGGTATACAGATCAACACTGACAGTAAACAAGAGTGAGTGAGTGAGTGAGTGGGTGGGTGAGTTTGGCTTTACTCCACTTTTAGCAATATTCCAGCAATATCAAGGTGGGGGACATCCTGCACTGTGCCCATGTGGAGATTCAAGGTGGGGACATCCTGCACTGTGCCCATGTGGAGATTCAAGGTGGGGAACATCCTGCACTGTGCCCATGTGGAGATTCAAGGTGGGGACATCCTGCACTGTGGCCATGTGGAGATTCAAGGTGGGGACATCCTGCACTGTGGCCATGTGGAGATTCAAGGTGGGGGACATCCTGCACTGTGCCCATGTGGAGATTCAAGGTGGGGACATCCTGCACTGTGCCCATGTGGAGATTCAAGGTGGGGAACATCCTGCACTGTGGCCATGTGGAGATTCAAGGTGGGGACATCCTGCACTGTGCCCATGTGGAGATTCAAGGTGGGGGACATCCTGCACTGTACCCATGTGGAGATTCAAGGTGGGGGGCATCCTGCACTGTGCCCATGTGGAGATTCAAGGTGGGGACATCCTGCACTGTGCCCATGTGGAGATTCAAGGTGGGGACATCCTGCACTGTGCCCATGTGGAGATTCAAGGTGGGGGACATCCTGCACTGTACCCATGTGGAGATTCAAGGTGGGGGACATCCTGCACTGTGCCCATGTGGAGATTCAAGGTGGGGACATCCTGCACTGTGCCCATGTGGAGATTCAAGGTTCGGACATCCTGCACTGTGCCCATGTGGAGATTCAAGGTGGGGGACATCCTGCACTGTGCCCATGTGGAGATTCAAAGCCTGCTCCACTGTCCCAGGACACATCGGAGGGGCAGATCAAACACCGCAATGAAGTCAGTGATCATGCTGACGGCCTAACAACAAGAATGATCAAGTGGACAAGCGAAAATATTTCGACGGGTAACATCAACTATCTCTCTGTGTGTTTGTGGAGATCCAGATTAGAATTGGTCTTCAACAACCCATGCTTGTCTCTCTCTCTCTCACTCTCTTTCTCTCCCTCACAATCTCTCCCTCTCTCCCTCCAACACGTCCCCGTTTCTCTCTCTCCATCTTTCACTCTCTGCCTGACTCTTACTCTTCTCCCTCATTCTTTCCTTCTCTCTCTCTCTCCCTCTTTCTCTCCTTCTCTCTCTCTCCCTCTTTCTCTCCTCTCTCTCTACCTCTCTCTTTCTCCCTCATTCTCTCCTTCTCTCTCTCTCTTTCTCTCCTTTCTCTTTCCCTCATTCTCTCCTCTCTCTCTCTTTCTCCCCTCTCTCTCTCCCTCTTTCTCTCCTTCTCTTCCTCCTTCTCTCTCCCTCTTTCTCTCCTTCTCTCTCTCTCCCTCTTTCTCTCCTTTTCTCTCTCTCCCTCTTTCTCTCCTCTCTCTCCCTCTTTCTCTCTCCTTCTCTCTCCATCTTTCTCTCCTCTCTCCTCTTTCTCACTCTCTCCCTCATTCTCTCCTTCTCTCTCCATCTTTCTCTCCTCTCTCCCTCTTTCTCTCCTTCTCTCTCTCCCTCATTCTCTCCTTCTCTCTCTCCATCTTTCTCTCCTCTCTCCTCTTTCTCTCCTCTCTCTCTCCCTCATTCTCTCCTTCTCTCTCTGCTTCCTTCTCCTCTCTCCCTCTTTCTCTCCTCTCTCCCTCTTTCTCTCCTTCTCTCTCTCTCCCTCTTTCTCTCTCCCTCTTTCTCTCCTTTTCTCTCCCTCTTTCTCTCCTTCTCTCTCTCTCCCTCTTTCTCTCTCCCTCTTTCTCTCCTTCTCTCTCCATCTTTCTCTCTTCTCTCTCTCTCCCTCTTTCTCTCCTCTCTCCCTCTCTCTCTCCCTCTTTCTCTCTCTCTCCCTCATTCTCTCCTCCTCTCTCTCTCTCCCTCTTTCTCTCTCTCTCCCTCTTTCTCTCCTTCTCTCTCTCCCCTCTCTCTCTTTCTCTCCTCTCTCTCTCCCTCTAACTATATTTCACCCTGTCATACTCTCCGTGGTATTTAATCACCCTTCATTTGCCGGATGTCCCCGAAGCCGTACAGTGTATTCACCGATGCCGCACAGTGTGATGACCGATGTGTCTGTCAGTAGCTGGTAGTCTCATCAGTGTGACACACGCCGGTTATAGTGATGCATCTCGGGTATTGGTTTCATTCGGAGGCAGCCGGCTCAGTGCGATTGTCCTTCAGTATGAACGTCTGCCTCAGATTGTGTCGCCCTTGTGCTGGAGTACGGAACACAAGTGGATTCATTTGAAAGTAAGTTCTTCAAGAACCCTATCAGAAAACAAACAAACACACCCTACACACGCACATGTGTGCATGCGTGTGTATAATTATATTCATGTGTATGTATTTCTTCAGTTACAGTAATGTTGGATATAGAATGTCCCCAATGTATTACGAAACTTGTACACTGGGTGTGATCAACATTTTGGAAAGTGTGGCGTGTGGGACCTACCACAATGTCTGTTGAAACAAGCTCATACCAGAAAGATATCTGTCCAATTATCCCGTACCTGCTGTTATTTCTCTTCAAAAGACGAAGCGGTTATATCAAAACTCGCTATATATGTTCAAAATGCAATTTCTCTTCGAAACAAACTGTTAAAGATTAGTGTATAACCGTATTTATAAAACTTAGTACTTATATGTAATTCCTTTATAAATGGGTCGGAGGCCTTACATGCAATAAATATTTGATTGGCTGTTTGATTGATTGATTTGACTGTCGCACTCGTGATTATGAAGGTGTATGGTGCAGTCTATATTGTCAGCTACAGGGATCAGGATCCTGTGACAGACACGGTAATAACAACACCCATCTCGTAAGGTAGGCTCCGGCGGTCAGGCTTGGAGACTTGTTTGATGCATTTCGTTGTATCTCGATTGCAGAGATCGATTCTCATGATATCAATCACCCGATTGTTTGGTCCAGATCCGTTTCTGTTTATGTACAGACTATCGTCATATGGCTGGAATATCGTAGAGGTCGGCATTAAACAACCAATACACCTTTAGTCAATGAACGATAAAGAGAGAACGTGTTGAACGTATGTCTACTGAACGCAACGTGAGACACAGTATGACTACCTCGCCGATATTTCCAGATTACACAAGTACTGAATGCGGGATGGCAAATCACAATAACAACTTGCATGCCCGTCATGAATCCAGGTCAGAGTTAATGCTCCAATCGCTTATTCCACCTTCATAAGTTACCTCTTCATCTCAGCTTGGGGGTAGATTCACGCAAACCATCAATGCCAGTAGA